GGCCGATTCAGGACGGGTGAAGGGTGGAAGCTTCATTCACAATGTAGTTCTTGTTTATCCTAGCGCAGATGGAAATATTCTGCAAAACCATTTCAGTAAAACAAATGCAGACAATATTCTTAACTCAAGCATAAAAATGTAGCCATTAATAAATGCCCAGTATACATTATGTGGCAGATACTTCAAACACATTACCTGCAGACAATACCTACCTTCACAAGGTTCCAGGAGGCAGGTTTTTACATATGGAGAGGAAAAATATGGTCAGAGCAAAGGTTCATGAACTTCCCTACATTTAGAAAATACAAATGGTGGTGCTGGACACTGTCCCTGGGCCCACACTCTCAGGCACTGCCTTACGAATTTCTATGTAGTATAAAGGGCCTTCACTAACGTCAAAGCTAAGGATGGAACGGAGGTCCCCCAGCCTGCTCAGCTGCTCTTTCCAACAGGTGATTCCAGATTTCCACTATAGTTTTATCTTTCTATCTTTGCATCAGCGGTGAGCAACTGCTCACTTCTGCCACTTCCAGACTGCACAGTGTCAGCGATGCTTCTCGTGCACATGCATGTGTGATAATCTCCAATGTCTCCAAGTGTTTTAAAAAAGAACAGTGAAAACAAGTGGCCTGAAAAGTCAGTATCTTAATTTTTCCTTTACCAAGTATAGGAGGCATGGGTAAGAACAAAGTGAAGTAACTAAAAAGCACGTACTGTCCTCGTCTCGCTGTCCTCACGCTCAGGATTGACCTTCACAGCAACTGTTGTGATCATACCAACCATTTCTGGGGCAGGGACCGTGTTCTCAGGGATCACCTGTGGGTTCTCAAAGTAGCGGTTCTACATAAAAGAAACAGAAGTTGTTTTTCCTAAAGTCAAACACAGTATTCCTTAATAAAACACACCCGACATGTGGTAGAAGAAACCAAATGTTCTGCAAGTTTATGCTGTGCCCGTCCCACAGTACCTCTTTATTCCCTTAAGGGTGACATGACAGAGATAGCAGTCTCCACCTCCAACCACAGAAAACAAAAACCTGACCCCAACATTTTCTACTGATAAACATGAAATGCACTATCACATGCCATCACTACCTCAGTGAGGCCGGGGACAATGCACCCCTGCTGCAGGGACAAGAGACAAGGCACTAGGCCACTGAATGAACTTTCCAAACTGTCTCCAAAGTAAAAATCAAAGACAGGAACAAAAGCAAAGCACACAGATATTTTTAAAAGCCAAGACCTCCCTGCCATCCTCAGCTCTCAATGGAATCTAGGTGTCAGCAAGACAGCTTCTTAGGAAAAAGCAGCTCTAAGGCTCTAACTGAAATGGTAGGTGACAGGACTTGATAACTCAGAACACAATGTTATGTTTTATGCATTCTTAGCAGATTAAAATCTTTAAAATAAAAGGAGTCAATTTTACCACATGTGAACTACAAAAAATTACTTCAAAGCCTAAATAAATCTTTAAAATACAGGCATACCTCAGATATATTGTGGGTTCGGCTCCAGACCATCACAATAAAGCAAGTCAAATGAATGTTTTGGTTTCCCACTGCATATGTAAGTTATGTTTATACTACACTGTAGTCCATTAAGTGTGCAATAGCATTATACATTAGAAAAAATGTATATACCTTATTTCAAAAATACCTTACTGCAAAAAATGCTAACCACCATCTGAGTTTTCAACAATTAGAAATCACTGATCACAGATAACCATAACAAATACAATGAAAAATCTTGATATACTATAAGAATTACTAAAACATGTCAAAGACATGAAGCGAGCAAACGCTATCAGAAAAAAAGCATGACAGACTTGTTCAATATAGGATTGCTACGGACTTCACAGATTTTGTAAAAAATGCAGTTATCTGCAAAATGCAAAAAAGTATAATGAAATAGGGAATGCCTGTAAAAGCCCTGACACAGAAACAGACTTAAGCACAGTGACTTTTACCAAACCATTCTTTGTGATAGTAGAGAACTAGGAAAAACAGCAAGAGGACAATGGTCAACGTACATGCATGTGATAGAAAATTATGGGGTTGTTAAGAATTCTGACTGCCAGAAAAAGTCTCGGGAGATTTCCAAAGGTAACAGCAATTCCTTCTATTAAGTGAGAACACAATGAGGAAGAGACGCCCCTCTTCTACTCCACATATGTTCACACTGACGGCCCTGCCTGGAAAGAGCCCTTTCAATATTGGGAAGAATTTGAATGACAGGGAAAGATGCTGAGAGTGTACACCACCTCCCCAAAAAGGCTTCAAGATTGTGAGTGCAATCATCCTTAAAAAGCACTAGGTGAAAAGCACAACACAACCGCAATGTCCATGGTTGCTTACAAATTAGAGTTTGGATGATCTTCTGGTTTTTATGCAAAATTTCTACAATAAGAACATATAGCTCTGATGCCAAAAATAAAGTATTTAATCTAAACAGTGGAACCAAAAGAACTCATTTTTTAAATGGTTGATTTATATTCCAACCATTACTAAACATGTCTCATTCCAAAATTGGTATTCTCCCAATTATTCCTCCAAGCCAACTGTTCCAAATTCCCTTCCAAATGGGAAAGTAATAAATATAAGTTCAAATGATATTAAAAACATACCACTACTTTTGGAAGCTCCTTGTAAATCTGTTTCACAAAATCCAAAAAATGATGAATCTGCAAAGTAGAAGGAAGATATTTATAAACAGAAAATGCTTACAATAAATAACAAAGGTGTTAACAGTTTTAATACACAGAACTCATACAACAAGACCAAGGTCAGACTCAAAATACAAATAGGCAATGAAGGAAATATAAAGGACTGACAGGCAAGAAACAAGTTTCTAATTCGGGAAGAGCAAAGGAATGGAAATTATAATAAATGCTACTTTTTACCTTTCAAAAAGTACTAAGAGTGCACTGAGATGGGCAAGCTCATACACAACCAAAAGAAGCACAAATGGAGGCTAGAACCTTTCTGGAAACCCACTGATCAATACCTATCAGCAGCACTAAAATATTTAACACCTTTGACTTGGTAATTCTACTTCAACACACCCAGCCTATGAAATAATTTGGACTGCACACAAGATGTTTAGTATTAGTAAAAAAAGTTTTGAGATGCCTTAAATATCCAAAAATAAGGAATACCATAATAAAGAATATTTTGCCTCCATTAAAAATTATAAAGAATTTTTTATGATTGGGAAAACACATATAATGTGAAGGGAAACAAAATACAAAATGTCATATGCAGTACTATTACAATTATGTAGAAAACATACACAAGGTGGGAAGAGCAAAAGGGAATCAAGACATTAAAGATAGAAATTCTACTTCACACTTACACTTTTAATTTCTAAATAATCTGCAACAGGCCATCTACTAAGATTATCATCAGAAAAGATATTATCTTAATTGTGGCTAACATAGTATATATGTAATGCTTATTGTGTGGATGCCAATCACTCTAAGAACTTTGCCTTTTATATTTAATTTGTCAAGCAACCTTTTGGATGTACTGTGATTGCCCCCATTCATGGAAAAGACTCCAAAGTCAAGGGGCTCACCCAGGATCACTGCTACTCAACTGCAGAGCTGCGATTCAAACCTTGAGACCTGAAAATACCAGAACCGCCCCAACAGCCACGTCACTGCTAAGCCCATCAAGAATTTCCCCCAACTTAGGCTGTATTTTCTTGAAATGTGTCTGTCAATTCTAAAAGAGTAAAAAATTCACACAAAGCAACTTGCTGACATGCTTTATAAAAGCTATGAGGATATACACTTACTTCCTGTGTGATGGGAGGTCGGAACTGTTTGTGCAGCTCAATAATTATTCTTAAACAAATAAGAACGTTTTCTTCATTCTCCGTCTTGAAAAAAAAAAGCATTTAGAAAAGAATTACACTTCTGAGGTTACTTCACTCTAAAGATTAAAGGCTATTTTCTCAGCATTTTCCTGGATATACCCCCTCCATCATACGCTGAATGTTCATGAATCCAGAGAGCACTGCTGTCCCAGGAGCTTTCATTCTTTGGTGGACCATCCCAAGGACACCCCACCAGTAAGTTCTGGGGGGTGACACTCTGACAGGTGAGTAACTGGCAGTTCGGGAAAATCACACCATGAACTGAGGTCTTAATGGCCCAACTGACACCCTCCATTGCTTGAAAATAATGCTAGAAGAACAAACAATTGTTGAGCACCTACTGTCTACTGGACCCTGTACTAAACAATTTACAAACACTGAGTAAGGGGTGCCTGGGAGGAAGCTAAGTTTGGAGAAGGTAAGCAACATGGCTGACACTGGTATAGCTAACAAATGGCAGAGCCAGGAGCTGAATTCAACTCTATTCCCCTCCAAAGCTCATCTTCCTAAGGGACTCAGAAACACAACAGAATTCTAAACACATGAGGATCAGGAACAGCGAGAACACAATTTCAGAGGTTAGATGGATTCACCCCAAGAATTTGAGAAACCCCTTATGAGTATCTACTGTGCTCGACACACACAAAACTAGAAAACTCAAAGCCAAAGAACCCTGTCCTCTGAGTCTGTGGACCACCACTCAACTCACTTTCAAAGATTTTCACTATCTAGTCAATTCCCCAGTGACTCAAATTGATCTTCAATTAATAATTTTTCTTAGTAATTTGATTGGTAAAATGGTTTATTAAGAAAATTTTTACTTATGAGAATCATGTTTAGTGAAAGGGAAATAAATAGTTGCATTAATACTAGATTAAGAAAATCACTGAAAGTTTTGAATGTGGCTAAATTATGAGAATTCTCAAAGGTTACCTCTAAAAAACGGAACATCACAGACAGAACATTCTTTGTATGAGGACGGAGATGTTCATTGGTTGGTATTCTATGAATTATTTCAAGTACTAGCTTCCGCAATTGCTGGCAAAGAAAAATAAAAAAATGTAAATATAAAATCCTTCCAAGAGCCCCACAGTAATTCTTTCATGCATCTGCCAAGGGTCACACGCTGTCTGCAGCCAGGCACTGGCATATACCCCCATATACAACAAGAGGGATCCCATTTAGGAAGAATCCTGTAAATAATTTAAATGTAAACCCAAGTAGGTACTGCAAACCATCACTTTCAACATTTCTACAAATGTGTGCCAAATCCACCAAGTCAAATTGGTCCTCTTTTGCAACTTATCGGTATTTCTAGTGGAAGGACACGAGTGTAGGAATGTGGAGTGGATTTAAGACAAAAGAGCAAAGCACAAATGGAACTTGGTTTGAGCTCTCCCTTCACAATTTCAATTTAACCCCTATAATGCCCTCCAATTACCCAAGGGCTAATTATATCACAAGCTAAGTTATCATGAATCTATGGAGCAGACAACTAAAAGGGAGGCTGACTGTGTATCTTGAACTGATATGGCAAAAAAATGCTTTATTTAGCAAGGAGCTTTCACTGGCATTACGGTAATCATTTTTTTAAGAGCTACTTTTCAGACATACATGATCAAAGTTATAGGGAAAAAATGGCATCACGGAACTGTTTTCTAAAATGATCAAGGCGGGAGGGAGAGCAACCAGTGCAACGCCGGCCATGTGGAGCTGGGCAATAGGTAAGGGGAGGGGTCATCAAACTAGTATTCCTTCTTTTGTATGTATTTGAATTTGTCTATAATAAATAGTATATACACACATTACCAGCCGGCAAATATGAGTGATTTAAATAAATACCAAGATAAAATAAAACCAAGACATTTAACTGAGAAGGAAATGGTCTTGGACAAAGTTATCCTTATGTGATAAAACCTCTCACATTTAAAGTGGAACTGTAAGTTTTCTGAATTGTTTTAATTCATAAATGCTTGTAATCCTACATGACATTTTTTTCCCTCCCTGATAGTTTTGAAAAGATTACCTGGGCTGGTTTCTCCTGAAGAAATTGAACTTCTCCATCTTGAAGAAATGTAAGAAATCGAGGGATGATATGTTCCAGGAACGTGGAATATTGAGGAGATGACGTTACATTCTGATTATGCAAAAATAAAAGAAAACCCCATGAAGTTTGGGTATATAATTTCAAGTTCACATATTGTAATAACCTCAAGAAAATATGAAGCATTTTAGCAGTCAATAATTTTTAATATTTTAAAGATGTTTTAGTGACCATATAGTTTTAAGTAAACTAGGATGACTGTTGTTTCTGAAATCCAATTCGAGAGAACTAAATGCTAAAATTTACTATTAAAACGCAATATTCTAACACTGTGGAAAATGTTGAATCTGGGCCTGCTTTACACTGGTTCTGCTACAGTCAAGCATGGGACCTCTGGAAAGTCATTTCACTTCTAGATCATACCTTCCTCATCTGAAAATGAAGAGCCTAAACAAGCTGCTACCTTTTTCCAATCTACAACTCCAATTTACTGGAGCTATACTACTTAGATTATACTCTAATCCAGTCTTTATCCCAGCACTGATTTTGTAAGGACAGGAAATGAAACTACATTTGTGAGATGGTTAGTAGTGCAGTTTCTGGACCCCACATAGGAAGTGCAAACCTGTGCCTCAGTGTCCCCACCTGCTAAGTGAGCATAATATTATTTCCTGCCTTATGTAATCATGTGAAGATTACATGAGATAAATGTTAGCTTACAACAGTGTCCATGGTAGACACTCAACAGACATCACCTGATATTGGTACCAAAGCAGCTGGCCACTAAATACTGTGCCAGTTGCCCATGTTCCTTTCCACTCCACCCTCACCACCACCGTAAAGTAAGTATTAGCTCCATTGCACAGATAAAAAAAGAGGCTCCAAGAAGCCAAAAAACCTGTGGACATTAATGGGTAAATGTTGGAAGTGGATTCAAATCAAGTGTCCCTAACACCCAAGGCCTTTCCCCTTTTAAGGCCTCACTTGCTCACTCAGCAAATATTTACTGAGCTCCTATCATGTGCCCAAAGGATAAAATAATAGAGAAAGTAGATACAATTCATGCCCTCAGAGATGGGGAGGTGGTCATGTCGTGGGGAAGTCAGATATCAAGAGAAGAATAGTACAGAATTACAGTGGGGGAGGGGCCCTGGTGGACAAGAGAACATCTAACAATAGGACATACAGTACTGGATAAACTACCAGCAGAGAATGTCTTCCTGAAGAAGTGATGTTTACCGAAACCTAAAAGGCCAGTGGTAGTTAACCATACAGAAAAGAAAGTTCTAAGTAACACACAAACAGACACACAGCTATGAGAACCCATGAGTGTAGAAGGCACTAGAAAAGTTCAGTACGGCAGGGAAGGGGGAGTCAGAGAGAGGAGTTCAGCTCTTACTGTCAAGTCTGACCAGCCAGGGAGACAAGGCAACTGGGCAGTTAAATATGAGTGTCTGTACCTCCAGACACTGATCTGGGCTGAAAATAAAGTTTGGGGCTGTCTGTCATATAAGGTAATCTTAGAAGAGGAGTCTATAAAGGAAGAGAGAAAGAAACAGGCAAAAACCAGAAGACTGATGGTACCACAAGGGCAAAGAAAGAAGAGAAATTCTTGGAACATGCATCTGTGCATGAGCACCCCTGGGCCAACCAGGTGCAGAGTTCTGGGGGCTCCACCCACACACAGTGCTGTGAGGGGAGCATGCGCAGAGCACCACAGCCTCTCCCCTATGCAGGCTGCGAATACACTATGGGCAAGAAATCCCCAAAGCTTAAGCCTTTTTATGAAATACCCACATTCAAGGATTCAAGGAAAACGGGAGTAAGATTCGTGATGGAACATTATCAAAGTTATCAAGAAATCAAGTTAGTGTACACATAAACTCATACCAACCACTGATTCCACAGCCTTCAAAACATCTGGGCTTCAAAGTTCTCATTAAAAAAAATTCACTCAACAGATTTTCCAGTTATTCTGCCAGTATTTCAACTCAACCCCCAGCCTTTGGATCCATATGAACCTTTCAAGTGATGTTAGACTTGAAGGTTTCTTTATTTTCTGGGCAGAATGATGGCCCAAATGACATCTACTTAGCCCAGAATTTTATTCCTAAGAGGTTAAAAAAATGAATTCCGATGACTCCTGAAACCATGGGGATTTTTTTTTTTTTTAATTCACTCACTTCATTCAAATATTTTCTGGGGTGGCATTGGTGGTGTTTCAGAATTACTGATGGTCATTCTATGTAATTCCATGGTCTGTTCGATTATGTCCTCCCCCAGTTTTGGGAAGTTTTCAGCAATTATTTCTTCAAAGAGACTTTCTATTCCTTTTCCTCTTTCTTCTTCTTCTGGTACCCCTATAATATGAATATTATTCCTTTTGGATTGGTCACATAGTTCTCTTAGTGTTGTTTCATTCCTGGAGATCCTTTTATCTCTCTCTATGTCAGCTTCTATACGTTCCTGTTCTCTGGCTTCTATTCCTTCAATGGCCTCTTGCATCTTATCCATTCTGCTTATAAATCCTTCCAGGGATTGTTTCACTTCTGTGATCTCCTTCCTGACATCTGTGATTTCCCTCCAGACTTCATCCCATTGCTCTTGCATTTTTCTCTGCATCTCATCCCATTGCTCTTGCATTTTTCTCTGCATCTCTGTCAGCATGATTTTTATTTTGAATTCTTTTTCAGGGGGACTGGTTAGGTCTGTCTCCTTCTCAGGTGTTGTCTCTGTGATCTTTGCCTGTAGTTTTGCCTTTTCATGGTGATAGAGATAGTTTGCAGAGCTGGTACGAGTGACTGCTGGAAGAGCTTCCCTTCTTGTTGGTTTGTGGCCTTCTTCTCCCCCTTCGCAAGGCGCTGGGTTCTTGCAGGTGTGGATGTGGTCTGGATGTTGTCCTGTGTCCTCTGGTCTCTATTTTAGGAAGAGTTTTCTTTGTTATATTTTCATAGATCTATGTGTATTTGGGAGGAGATTTCCACTGCTCTACTCACACCGCCATCCTGGCTCTGCCCTGATGGTCATTCTAGTATTTAATTATTTGAAGGACTTAAGTCATCTGAAGTACATGTTTATATCATATAATTTCAAAAGTCACTATTTGGAAAAGTCCCAAGGATACTGCTTCACCAACTTTTAATTCTGCTCATTTAATCAGTGCATCCGAGACCAAAGCCGAATAAACTTGCTACCTGCCAGACACACTCACTACAGTCCCATCCCTGCTCTCAGGGGCATGGTGCATGTGCGTGCTCTTGCTGATTTCAGCATCTCAAGCCTGCTAGGGCCGTGGTTCTCTACCATCAGTTCTTTCAATAAAACACAGAATGCTGGCCTATCCTGTTCTACTTCCCACCTCTTCTTATAGTTTCTTCTTAACAGCTTGTGTTAGCAGCTTGGGCAGAAGAGAAAGCTCTTTAGCTCAATCCCTAAATACCTCTGGGGTTTTTTTCCAACTCAGTTCAAGGCAACAAGTCCTTGAAAATGTCTCCCTAAAAGAAAATAAACAAAAAATCTGCACCAAATGAAAATATTATCTATCACTCAGATAGTAGGGTATCCAATTCAATCCTACTAGCATTTATTTAATGTTTCTAATTCAAATGACTATGCCAGAAGCTAGGAAACATTTTATCTTTGTTCTTTTTTCATTTCGTTCTTTGTTCTTTGTTCATTTTATCATTTGTTCTTAATCATACTAACTGTGAGAAGGGCTTTATTATCCTCAGACAAAATAAGTGATGTGACTTTCCCTTCAGTATGAGACTAAGGGACCCAGACTAACCATGAAGTTGGACAAAATATGAGAAAACGTTTTTCAGGGGCTGCATAAGAGGCAGTGCAAGACCATGATCTCCAGGAAAAGGGGGATTCACGAGCCAAGCCCCAAACCCACACCTCTCTGCCTAGGTACGATATCCAGAGTGGGACTCAGCAGGCTGTCACCCAAGGAGAGCATCGTAGTCCTGCTGTGCTGAGGTGCAAACACCAGAGTCTGAGGCAGCTGAACTAGCTGGTATCTGCAGGGCAGAGGCCCAGAGAAAAGGGAACTACAGAATGGAGGTGGGGATGGTCTCCCATGAGTCCCTGAAGCCTTGACTGAGGGCTGGGCTGTACATACAGGTAAGGTAAGACCACCTGAAGCTCACCAGAGAGTGGCAGCCTTGGGCTCAAGAGTTGAGCAGAGATATCAGAGGTCTAGCTTGCTGTCGGGATATTGGGGTTACAGCCTCACCACAGTGCAAAGACTTTCTGAACACCTCAAGAACACCCCAGACATCTAACTGAGGAAGGACTATGCCCTAAAGAAAGGCCTATTCTAGACTGGTTCCAACAAACCCTAACATCAACTTCTGATGAGATTCACGGGGAGGCAGAGCTCGAAGGCTGAATTCCACCAAATCAGAAGGACTTGGGAAACACACATCCCCTCCATACACAGCAGAAATCCAAGCCTCACAAGTTCAATGAGATCACCCAACAACAGAACTGCCTCCTACAATAAAAGTATCAACACTCTTCAGAGGGAGATAACAGAATCCAGAGTCCCTACATTTCATGCCTGATGTTCTGTATACAACCAAACAGTGCTGGACATGCAAAGAAGCAGGATGTGACTCATAATCAACAGAAATTGACCTTCATATAGCCCAAATGTTGGATTTAGTGAAGACTAAACCAGTCATATCTTTGAAAAATAAAATATTGTCTTAATATATAATAGGGAATCTCTACAGAAAAGTGAAATCTATAAAAAAGAAGAACCAAATGGAAATTCTGGAATTAAAGGACAATAACTGAAATTTTCAAAATTTGGAAATGTAAGATGAAATTCTAAAACATCCCAGCCAATTGGAGATAACAAAAACATAATGAACCTGAAGACAGAGAACAGAAATTATCCAATCTAAAGAACAAGGAAGAAAAAAAATTGAAGAAAACTGAACAGAGTCTAGGGACCTCTGGGGTGATATAAAATTTCAGAACATGAGGCCCAGAAGAGAGAAACTACTTCATCAAGGTCCCAGAAGTTATAGCAGAGCCAGAACTGACATCTAGCTCCCCATCACAGCAATGCACCACCTATTACCTAAACACATTACACTGGCAACCAAAGTGTGAGTGCATCCTGAAGGAATGTACCTGAGAGAGCTACCATATTTAAAAATGAAAAAAAATGTTCCAAAACTAAAGCAACACTCCTCAGCTGTTTGGGGATCACTATTGCTAGTGTGAAGAGGTTAGAAAACACTGCACAACTTGCAAATTTCAGTTTTGACATACAAGAAATTACATTAACAAAGATGACAGTTTTTTACCTACTAGTAAAAAAACTGACAGAGAAACAACAGGAATGCAGATGTACTGACCTCAAAATGAAAATAGAACATGAAGCTCATACCTCAAAATTTTCACTGACTTCTTGCATCATTTTTAACTTTGTCTCATCAGCTGTAAATGGCAAAACAAACCAATGGGTAATTGAAATTATGTTCACAATGTTCCTAAAATTACTGGATTTAATAAACTAGGAGAAGCAATCAGATCTTATCAGTTTGACTGTCATGGTCCATAGAAAGCACCTAAGTAGTTCCCTACAACCAGTCACACACATTCACATTCCCAGACATACGTGTGCATGCACACACACGCACATTCCCAGACATACGTGTGCATGCACACACACACGCACACACATTCACATTCCCAGACATACCTGTGCATGCACACACACACACATACGCACATTCACATTCCCAGACATACGTGTGTGCGTGTGCACACACACACACACACACACACACACACACAGGTGCCTCTTCAGGGCTCCAGCCAGTAATGCTCATCACTTTGCTTCTCCACCAGGCAGACAAAGGGGATATTAGGATAAAAGTTAATGTTACTATTTATTTCAATGTGCATGTACAACATCTGAACTGAGGTCTCATTTAAGTATTTCTGAAGACAAAAAGGATCGACTCACGTGTATTTACATCTGTAAGGGCGGCCACAAACTGAAGATATTTTTTCATCAGAGTGGTTTGGTCAACCACCGTGGCCCCTTGTGTTGCAACGAATGCCATTTTTCTTTTGAGCTGGTTTGTTTCTCAAGAGAAAAGTATCGGGTCCATGAGCTCCCCTGGCCTGTGAAAAGCAGCATATGGTTAACCAACTTATTCAGAGTGTAGGCTCACAATCTTTATGAAAATCTTACCTGAGTGCCTACACTAACCTAAATATTTTTGCATTAATCCAGAATACAATATTCCCTCTGCTTTTCTGAAAATTTACTTAAATCCATTTTGTTTCTAAATTTCTAAACATGATTTGTATACAGATACTTTTCTTTCCTAATTTTCTTTTTTTCCCCTAGGCCAGGAGTTGGAAAACTCTCTGTAAAGTGCCAGATAATAAATATTTTAGTCTCTGTGATCTCTGTCACAACTAATCTCTGTTGTAGCCAAAAAACAGCCATTGACAATATGTAAATGAATGAGCATAGCTGTGATGCATAAACTTTATGGACACTTAAATCTGAATTTCATATATTTCTCCAGTGTCTTGAAACATCATTCTTTTTACTTTTTCCCAACCATCAAAAAATGTAAAAACCACCCTTAGTTCATGAAAGCTTTATAAAAGCAAGCAGCAGACTGGATTCGGCAACTTCTAACCTAGGCGATTGGTTCTCAAACTTCAGTGTGCATTAAGATCTGCAGGTGCCAAAGTTGCCTTCCAAGCACCACCTAGAGACTAGTTCAGTGAGCGACCAGGAAGCTGTAAATTTTGTTTGCAGCTGGCACAGAGAAGACAAGTCACAAAATGCTCCTTCAATGAATAAATGCTGCAGGTTGTTGATGACCATATGTTAATTGCCTCTCCAGGCTAACAGACACAGGAGACTTGGATTTTATTTTGAGAGCCCTCAAAAAAGTGGTGAACCTGTGAAATTGCTTTTACCCATCTTTCTTGTCTATATGACTGCTTCATTTCACTCTGTCTTAAGAGGCAATTTCTCGACTTTTCTTCGTTCTTCAACACACACTAATAGCTCTTCTGCAAGCGTTCCAATGGCCCTCCCTGCCCATGCACTCCCTTGCAGCTCACACTTCTGCCCCAAGTGGTGGGGACGCCCTTGGCCACAAAGCCCCATCTGGCCACTCGAGTCACCAGAAGCACTTCTCCCAGGCACTTTTCCACGGCTATACTGTTCCAGCACGGCCCCCAGAAGGTCCACTCCCCTGGCTCAACTCAGGCCAAGCAGTAATGCGACCAAAGGGAGGGATTCTACTAACTCAGCCGCTTGACGCGCCTACTGCTTCCTCTTTCAGGTCACACTCCCGCCTCCAAACACCGAAGGCCCCCCATCTCCACCCCTGGGCACCCGAGACTCTGGGTCACAGCCTCTCACTGCCTAAGAAACTTCTGGGCGTGCCCCCCTGTTCACCGAGGTCGCCAACCCTTCCATTTCCCGGGGCCCCGAGAGGCCAGGCTCCGCTTCCGCAGGTCTTGGGGGGCCCCTTCGGAGTGAAAACGCCCCATCACGCCCTTCTGCTGGGGGACAGCTCGCAGACCCCGCAGGCTGAGAACCCAGGCCTGGATTCCGTCGAGCCCCGGCGTCCCGGCCCAGATGGGAAGTCGGAGCAGGCACCGGGCCCCGGCCGCCGGGGGACAAACGGTCCCGCCGTCCCGCCCGCCCCGAGGCGGCGCCGCCGGGCCAGAGAGGGCGCTGTTGCCTCCTCTACCTTGCTCTCCGTGCCCGACCGGGCGAGCCAGGTGCCTGCGTGGAGGCCGAGAGGTTCCAGGCTGGCCCGGGGCGCCTCCGGAGGAATGGGGCCCCAACCGCACTCTCTATTTCCCAGTGCCCAAACGGACCCCCGCTTCCATCCTTTTGTCACGGCCCCGGGCACCCAGCGCCCGCCCGCCAGGCCATGCTACGGCGAGCGCCGAGGGCCAATTCCCGCGCCGCCGGCCCTCCGCTTCCCAAAGCTCCTCGGCTCGGAGGCGGCGGCGGTTCAAGGGCCGCCGCCGGCCACTACCAACCCCTGCCGCCCCGGCTGGGCACCGGTGGGGAGCAGGGGGAATCCAGAGCTCCCGGAGCCTCTCTCCATCGCTCCGCAGAGCCGCAGAGGCCTCTTCACGCCCGTGCTCGCCGCGCGCTCCTGCCGGGGCCATTCCGCCGCTCCCCCACGCCTGCCGGTGCTTACCCCGACCTCGCGGCCGGCCTCCCGCAGCTCAGGCCCGCGGACCCCAGCGAGGCTCTCGCAGCCGCTGCTACCACCACCACCACCACCGCAACCGCGCGCAGTCCCACCCCCGCTTAGTGCGGCCGCGCCCCGCCGCCCGAGAAATAGTCCCCGGCGCACCGCCCCCAAGTGGGTGCGGCCTGGGCGGGAGCGGGAGGGACGTCGCGGCCCGCGTGGACCCGCCCGGCCCTTTAAACCTCCGCCCTCCGGGTCGGGGTGGCAGGCAGGTGCTTGGTTTTGGGGCTCCTACCCAAATCTCGCAGGAGCCAGGCCCTGGGTGGGAAGGGGGGAGGGCCCCCCTCGAGGGCTGCTGCGGGCTGGGGGTGCCCGATGGGCTTTCTTAGCAGGCCGCTGGCGGGGGAAGAGTGCACCCCTGAGCTGAACGCAGCAGGCAGGGCGGGGTTTTCGCGCAGCCCGACCCCCGCCGTCTTGGGGTCCTACTTAACCCGCTCTAGGGAGACGAGGCAAGGGGGGGCCTTGGGAAAGCGAAGACTGGAGACCGAGTGAGACCCTGTAAGCAAAGGAAAGCCCTGGTGTTCTGCTCGGAGGCGGCCGGCCCAGTCAGTTGTTTTGCAGCTGCAAGACCCCTAAGCTGACCTACAGCAGACTGCTTTCTGTCTGCTCCTATCCAGCAGGCAGATGCCACCGGGCAGGCCAGAACAGTGATGAACCGTGGGGCAGAATGCTCTGAGGCCCAGGTGAGGTGTGGGCTGGACCAAGAGGCCCTGGAAGGGAAAAATACTGATGGGACTCACCTACAGACTCCACCAGTGAGTAATTGAATAGTGAGCTGCTCCTGGTAACCCATGGTTACCATGTTAGATGGACCGCGCATGAGTGATGGTCTGCCTCCACCACTACCAGGACCTGGCCCCACCTCCTACCTCTTCCTGCAGCCCCTACCTGATCCACACACGCCCAGCATCACTAACTCCAAAATCTTGTTTCCTTCCTAGACAGATCCATTTCACACCTTGTAAAAACAGAGCTTGTGACAACTGCAAGATATCCTGGAGGAAAGGTGCCCAGTTCAGGAGCATGTTCTTGCTGGTTTAATGTTGCCACTCATGAACCAGCCTCTGCTGAAGTGTTGGGATTGTAAGTGGACATATTTAATGCCAATTATTTCTACCCCAGGAGAAATAAAATGGGCCAGAATATCGTTCCTCCCATGGAAGAAGTTGCCACCTTGGAAGCAAAATCCTCTCTGCTCCTACCACCACCACTCCCCAAAAAAAGGAGGAGGTCTAAAGTTGGGAGCGGTTGAAAAATTTGAGACTTGGAATCAGTGCAGTGCTGGTTGTAGTTTAGTATTGTTTAGGGGGTGGAGAAAAAAGCAGCAGTTGACAAATCCTTTAATAAGCTTCAGCTTAACTGCATACAATAAAGACAGTTTGGCCTAGCCCTAACTTTGGGAAATCTCAATGCTTTCCATCCATCTAGCTTCTAGCAGAGTACCCAAAATACTACTAAATTTTTGCCTGTTTTCTTGTCTTTCCTGAATTAGAGGTCAGGACTGTATCAGCTTCATCCCTATCAGGTAAGTTAGATCACACCCCTCTACGTAAAACCCTCCAAAGACCTTTCAGCTCCTACTCATTCCCTGGCCCTGCACACCTTCCATGCTCCTTTGTGTTCTAGCCACAGTGGCCTCAGTGCGCCTCCTACCCACTGATGATCTTTACAGCCAGTTCTCCTGTTTGGGAAGATTTTCCCTCAGAAGCACAAAAGCTGACTTCTTGTCTTGTTGAACACAAATGTCCTTTTATAAAGGTCCAATGTAAGAAGACAATTGCCCCCATCCCGTCTCTCATAATAGTGAATTTTCCCCCAATAACTTCACAATCTGAAATTATTTATTCATTTATCATCTGTTTCCCTCCTAGAGGGTCAGCTTCTTTTCTGTCTTTACTAATGTTTTCCTGCTGGCATTGTCTTAGCCTCCTAGAGTTGCCATAACAAAATACTGCAGTCTGGATGGGCTAAACAGCAGAAATGTATTTCTCACAGTTCTGGGAAGTCCAAGATCAAGGTGCTGCCAAGGTAAGTTACATTCTGAACCCTTTTCTCTTGTGGGTGGGCTGTCATCTTGCTGTGTGCTCACATGACCTATTCTTTGTGCCCATGAAGAGAGAGAGGTCTCTGATGTCTGTTCCTCTTCTTATAAGGACACCTGATCTACTAGATTAAGACCCACCCTTAGAACCTCATTTAATCTTAATTACCTCTTTAAAGGGCCTATCTCCAAATGCAGTCATATTGAGGGTCAGGGCTTCAAAACATGAATTTCTCAAACAATTCAGTCCACACACAAATGTATAAATTTGTACCCTGTTTGGAATAATACTATGTGAACCCATAAAGCAGGGTCAGCTGGAACACTAAAAAGAAGAATGCAGGAACCCCCTCCTCAGGTGTTCAATCTTTTGAGCATGAGTAATTTGTACAGGTGATTTCTGCATGGAATGTGTCAGGTCACTAGGTCTCAGTCTGACCTTTTGAGAGCCCCCAAGAGGCCATCCCCCCTCCACTCTCCCCTGGTGTGCTAGAGTCCTTACCTTTATCTCACCTGTTGAGCTTCCTGGAGGCTGGCCCTAAGGGTTCCACCCCTGCAGAGGATCTCCTCTGTGATGAATTAATAATCCAGCATCTTATCCTCTCTAGGTCTCCTGTGGATTTCAGCAGGATGGTTGAGTGTCCTGACATCTAAGACTGCCAGCAGCCCTGGCAGAGCTGAGTCCCAAGCCTGGAATCATGGTAAACTAAACAAAGGGATCATGCAGAATTCCATTTTGCTCCCTCCAAGCTCATAGGATTTAGCTGCACAAGCTTCTCCAGAGCTGATCTGGGGTGATTGTTATCAGCTTAGCAACCCCTACTTCCCACACATTTCCAGTGTAGGACAGTGAGGAATGGTGGTAGGAATATTAACCCTGGGGCTGCTGCTGTCGTTCTCTTACCAAAGGGAGAACGACATGTAATCATTACACCTTGCTAGGACCAACATATCAACTAACCTACTTTAGAAAGATTTTCAGTGACAAGAATTAACTCCAAAACAGGTGCTGTGAGAGCCCAGAGGAAGGAAGGTTTCTGAGGAAGGTGACAGCTGTGGGGAATTTGGGACAAAAAAGACAGTAATTAGGCAAAGAGTTACCTCATCAGCTTCAGGATGGCCTTACAGGTGGCTTTGGTGACACAGATGACACTATCCAGAGTGTTCAGTGTAATAGTTACACATAAAAACCCCAATAAATCTGTGCATTTAGTACATTTTAAAAATCACTAACAACGAGACCTTTGAATAATGTTAAATAAATACTTAAAACTCAATTTATAACCTTAACATACTGTTTTCTTTTCAAGCACAATTTTCTTCTCAATTCCTGATGGACAAGCAAAACCTCCCAAGTCCTTAAGCAATTCTAATGATGAGAACCAACACTGACTGGGTGCTTAGTGTTCTGTGTGTGAACTCACTTCACCTTGACAACAGACTCATAGGGGAGGGATTATTTTTATTTCCATTGTAAAGAAAAGGGAACTGAGGCTCACCAGAGGGGAAAGTGACTTTCCCAAGGTCATAGCTCTCAGGGAGAATCCAGAGTCTCCTGTCTCCTGGTTTCTATGCTTGGTATTTGTCCCCACAGGGTAACTGATGCTCTGGGGAGTGACAGCTGTCAAGCACTTGTAACTTTTCTAAGGAGCTCACTCTGTTAGGGTGAGATGGCAGCTGGGGCCACGAGGGCCCATCCGTGGGGACGCCCACATCTGTCCCTGAGTCTTCTGTGCAGCAGGTCAGGCAACCATGGAGCAACCAACTCCTGCCTCTGGGTGGGGTCCCTCGTGGGCTACAGTGTAAAGTAGAGGCAGTGCTGGAACGAAGACCCGGGCAGCCAGTCTCTAAGGCCGGCCAGGCCCAGCCACCTTCTAGTAGGAAAGACGCACACTGCTCCCTTAGGGCAGATGGGAGCATCTGCTTAGGCCAAAGAGGGTCCAAGGAGCTGTCCCATCGCTCTTCACCGCCGTTGTCTTGAGTCTCACAAGATCCTCAGTGTCGGCTGCTTCGCCATAGGCCCAGGTGTGACCACGAGCCCCATTTTACAGCAGACACGGAGAGAATAACTGAGGAATGAATGACATTATCTCAGTGCAGGGTCCCTGCGCTCAAGCCCCTCTCCCAGGAGGGGCATGGGGCGCTTTCAAGCGCTTTGTCCAGCGCCTGGCAACGGTGGGCACTCAGTATGAATGGAGAGCCGCATCTCCGAGTCGTGTGCGTCAAGAAGGCAGATGGCACCTGGAGAAGAACCCAAAGGGGCCTGCGCGCGGCTCTGCAGCGGCGTGCGCGCCTCAAGGGACGCTGAGTCAGAGCCGGCAGGCGGGGACGCGGGGAGGGGGCGCGGACTGGAGGAGCGCGGAGCCGGGGAGGGGAGGGAGGGGAGGATTGCGGAGAGAGGAGGGGAGCAGTGAGGGGAGGAGAGGGGAGGGGGCGCGGACTCGAGGAGGGACGCGGGGAGGGGGCCTGCGGGGAGGACGCGGCGCGGCTGACGTGGGCCGGGGTCGGCGCGGCGGGCTGTGGGCAGCGGCGACGCGCAGCGACACAGTGTCCCGAGACGAGGACGAGCTGGCGCCGCGTCCGCACCTCCCGGCACAGCCCGCGCCGCGGCATGCGCCGAGTTCAGCTGCGTCCGCTCGGCGCTCCTGCCGCTCCGGGTGCCGCCATGGCCCCGGCTTTCTGGCCATGCCTCAGCCACATCCTCTGGCTCGCCTGCCTCCTGCCGTTGGCCCCGGCTAGGGTAGCCGCAGGTAAGGCGCTGCGCGGGCTGGCCGCCCCTCCAGCCGCAGCGCGCCGCGGGGCCCAGGGCCGTCGCCGGCGGGCGACCCAGCCGGAGCCCGGGCTGCCGGGGTGGCGCTGTGCGCCCTGCGCCCTGCGCGCACTCCCTCCTCCGCCGAGGCCTCTGCAGCACGCTGCGCGGGGAGCACGGCAGCCTGCGCCTCGGAGCCCGGTCCTCTCCCCCTTCATCCCTCTCCCCAGAAGTCGCCCCGGCACTTGAGGGGCTCCTGTCGCCCCTCGGTTCCTGCTTCCATCTGCAGATCAGCCCTGCCCCGGGAACGGCGCGCGGTGGCGAGCGCATCCATCCCGTAGCCTGGGAACCTCGCAGCCTCTGTGGGTGGGGGAGGACGATGCGGAGAGGTCCGGAATGTGCGGGGTCGGTCATCACGCCACAGCTCCCAGGGCAGCCCCCGCACAACAGGTTGCCTGCACAACAGCGTTTTGGCCTTAAAACGTCGCCCTGTGTGGAGAGGTTTTCCATCCTGTTTGAATTGGCTTCGAGAAGGGTGCGATTTTAGAGCCCAGGAGGCCGGTCTGCCATTTCCTCTCTGGGAATAATTTCCAAAATGGACCCCGAGCTGGCAGGTTCCGCCGTACCCACCTCCCCACCGAAGGCCGGCACCAGCCTTTCTGCCTCCTTTTAGCTACATGTTGGAGAGCTGTTGGGAGACAGGTGCGACAAGGGTAGCTCTGGGGGGCTGTGCGTGTTAAATATCCAGTATTTTTCATTGTCGTCCCCCTCCTCTTAAAGAGTGGTAAAGAGAGGACGAAATGAATGCAAAATGATGAAAGAAGAGCCACAAGGTAAAATAAAAATCTGCGTCTTGGGGATGAATCAAGAGAATTTTGTGGGAATTGTGTTTGGTCAGGATCACAGGCTTCCCCCCCACCCCCACCTCCGCCCGGAAATCCGTATGGAGGTGGGGCCTCATGTCCAGTAGGTCTACATCATCCAGAAATGATCGATGCGGCCTAAATTACAAAAAAAAAAAAAAAAAGGCTATTTATTTGGAAGTTATGTATGGTTTCCATCCTGGCCTACTGCACCCATATGGTTAAAATAGCTGGGAATGGGGTTTGGGAGCTATACCTTCTCCCTCACCCACGGGATTAAAATAGAGGGTCCGCAGCTCTTTTCACCCTTGCTGGGGTTTGGGTCCGCTGTGCTGTATGCTTCTACACCAGGTGTTAAGTTGGAAGTCCAAATACTGTACCGTTCATTAATTCCGGCCTGTGTTATTCAGACTTCAGAAGTACCTGGGAAGAGTTTAGGGCTGTCTATATATGTGCAGTGTGAAAGGGCTGATGTAGCCAGTTTCTAGAATGTTCAGAATGTGCGTACTTCCAGAGGAAGCACTGGGGCCCCCATGTGGGTGTTGCTTCCACGGGTCCAGCTTCGCAGCAGCTGCCACTTTGCTTTTTGCTTTGGCCCTTCCAGCTCTAGGGCACCTGGGGCACCTGTGGGGCCTTCTATACTCTGACCCAGTTGCTCTGGGTACCCCAAGGCCATGTCACACTCCGGGCTCCCACATCTGGGAAGAGGGTTTAAAGGGGGAGTCCAGCAGGACCTGGGCTTTCCTTCGGCCACATGTGGCAAAGCCTCCATGGGCCACTCCAGCCTGGACGCCCCGGAGACTGCCGAAAGCCCTGAGGAAGAGCGGCAGCTTCACCAGGGGCCAAAAGATCGCATTTAAAAGAGAAAAAGAAAAAAAAAAAGCTTGAGAGGAAGTGCCCTTGGAGCCTCCTTGTGTCTGGATAGGTGAGGGCTTTCAGGGTCTGGGCCCGTGTTTGCAGCACTGTCGGCTGTAGCCACAGCCTCCTCCTTGCCTAGTCTGCAGCGCTCTTGACTCCATTGCCCTGGCAACGGATCTGCGTCGCGCTGACGTGCGCCCTCTCGCTGCAGATGCTGGTTGGCCATTAGCATGCAGCCAACTTCCCCTCCACTTGCCAGCCTCGTTCTGGCCCACACTCCTCGCCTGGGGGTTCGGGGGACGGGAGAAAGGAGATGGCCTCTCATCCAAGCACCTCTCCCTAGAAGCCTGGTCAAATGCTGCCTCCCAGTCACAGGAGGGAGAATAGAACTCAGCTGGGGTGGTGCAGATCTGTTGGGTGGACCCAAGCAGTACTTAGGGGTCTCCAGTCCCTCAGTGTAAAATACACACCATCTTTTCCTGGAGAATCTTCTGCTGCAGAGTCTGGAATTCTCTCTTTGGGGTTAAGATACCGCAGGTCCTTTTACATAGCCAGTTCAAAGGACTTTATAATCCAAAAATATGGCCTGAAGAAAGGGATTCAGAGCAGAGAATGCGCGGCAAGGACATGGGGAAAGGCTGGGCCCAGAGTCCCCATGGGGGCAGGCAACGTTGCCGCAAGGCAAATGGGGCACAGTTGAGGACACGTTGCTCGCCTCCCAGGTGTGCTGAGTCCAGCAGGTCTCTTGTGAGTTCCCTGAGGGCCGGAGGCATTTTCTGCACTTCTGGATACCCCCCAGCACCCATGGGGGTGGGGGGCGGGGTGGCACAAGGAAGGTGCTCAATCAGTACCACCTGGATGAAGAGTCTCCTGTGGCTGTGCCAGGTGGACTGGGCTCTTTGCCATGCCCTTCTTTCCAGGTGCCAGCGGCAGTGTTGAACACTTACTATGTGCCAAGCACTTTGCTAGACACAGGGAAGATGGAGGTGATCCCTGCTCTCAGAAGTTTGCAGTGCAGTGTAAGAGACAAGAGACTTTTCATGCCAACATGAGATTGTGACCACTGTGTGCTCAGGCTGTTTGGAGAGTACCCAGGGAGCGAGGGGTTCAGGGAAGGCTTCTTGGGAGAGGTTATATCTGTGGATAGGTGGAGAAGGACAGTGTGGACAGCATGTGTAAAGGCTGTGAGGCTAAGGGCAAATTCTGTGGGGGGAGCTGTAAGATTTAAAGTGAACAGCTACAGCTTGGATATGCCGAGCTGCAAATCTGGACTCCACACCATGGACAAATTAGCTGTGCAGGAACCAGGATGCTGGGGTGTGGCTGAGACGGGCTGGACTGTAGCTGAGGGCCAGGGACAGAATGAGCAGTAATCCAGAGAGCTGAATGCTGGCCTTAGGCAACGTTAATAGTGTTGGAGAGGAAGTGAATGTGCCCAGATTGGAGGAGTTAGAGAGGCAAAGGGGTGGGGCTTGATTCGGGGGATCGACAGAGCTTCCAACCCAACAGAGAGTGATGGGTGAGGATACTAGCAGTTCTGGGGAGGGGAGAAGTTCAGAATTTAGAGCTCTGGGTAATGATCTGCATCTGTGCTGGCGAGAAGTGTAGCTACCAACCCCGTACAGCTATTGAGCACATAAAATGTGGCTAGTGGAACTGAGGAACTGCATTTTTCATGTTAATTAAAGTAATTAACTTTGATTAATTGAAACTTAATTACATGTGGTAAGTAGCTATTGTATAGTGCAGGTCTGGAGCTCAGAGGGCGGGCCTGGGTTATTGGGTCCTATTAGCATTTAGGAGGCACTTAAGCCATGAGATGGGAAAGCCATGGCTGGGAAGGTGGGTGGGAGTGAGAGAAATGAGTGGAGTTTGCCCCTCTGAGACCTCTGCCCTTCCTTCTGCATCACCTCTTCTGCTCAGGTGTCCACCACAGCAGGCTGGACATTCTCTGGCCTTGAGCCCTTCAGAGATCTCACTATAAAAGGAAAATTAGAAATTATAGGAAAATAGTTATCAATACATGCAGTAGTGCTACTGACAGGAGTGAAGGGTCCTGTGAATTAAGATATACCTGCTTGAGGGATTCTTGTGCAGATACTGAAATTTGTATGAGTGTAATCATGGACATGCTTTTGACATGTTGTCAGGTGTAAATAAAATAATTCTGAATTGTGTGCAGAGTGTGATTATGACTAAATTGAAAGCTTTTATGCATGAAAGAGGCATAGGACAGCAATGTGAGAGCAGTCATTGTTTTGGGAGAGTAGGATACTGGAACATTTCTAATATTCTTTATGCAAATGTATTTATTTTGTGATGGAAACAAGCCGTGTTTTTAAAATCCGACCTTATTTGCATGATAAAATGTTATGCAGCTCTCTAAAGCAGTTGAAGAATAATGACCTAGAAAAAATGCCTATGGTATAGAATTGAAAAAAACAATGGCTGTGTAATCTCAGAATATAAGCATAATTTTAAAAAATAGGATATATCCAAATATGGTAACAATGGCTGTTACTGATTATTTTAATTTTTAATAAAATTTAATTTTTTTTAATTTCAAACTTTTCTCTATTTTCAGATTACAATTAGTGTCACCTTCAGTGTGATGGTCGGGAGGGGAGTGTTATTCCCAAGACCTCTTACCTAGCCTCCATCCCATATGTTCAAGGGCCTGTTCTCTGCTAGAAACCTGCAAGACTAATTCCCAGGTTCCCTGTAAGAGCAGCACCCCCAGTGTTTCAGTTCAAGTCCCTTGAGGAGTCAGCCCAGATGGAATCACAAAGTTCCAGGATTGGCCCTGGCAGGAGTCGTGGAGGTGGCTTAGAGCAGTACAGTCCCATGCAACTTCCTGTGATAATTAAAATATTCTATAACCACACCAATATGATGGCCAATATGAGGGTCCAATACAATGACCCTCAGCCCCAGGTGGGTACTGAGCACTTGAAATGTGGCTAGTGCAATGGAGAGAGTGGAATTTAAATTTTGTTCCATTTTAATTCAAACTTAAATAGCCACATGTGGCTAGCGGCTACTCTGTTGGGCAGTGTAGGCTTAGAACTTCTCACTTTACAGATTTAGAAACTGAGACCAAGAGAGAAGGTGGCTTGGTGGGGTCAGGGTGGACCATCTTCCCAAGGTCTGTTCTATCACTGCCAAGGCTCAAGGCCTATTATGGGGTCTGGGCTCAGCTTTGTGTTCCAACTGGAATTTGTTTGATGTGCAAAAGACGAGTCCGGAAGAGTGGGTAACAGTGACCTTGCTTGGCGGCCACTTATGCAACAATCATTGGCAGTCTTTTAATGGCTGAGACGTAAGTCTGTCATGCCAGGCCTGTGGCACACATCCACAAGCCCTGCAAGACCCTGGTTGGCTGGCATGTAAAGCAAATATAAACTGGGGAACCATGGAAAGAGCTTAGGATATGAAGTTAGTCAGGCCTGGGGTTTGAATCCCAGCTTGACAGTGAGCTAGCCATATGATCCTTGGGCAAGTCACTTGAGCTCTCTGGGCCTCAGTTTCTCCACCTGTAAAACAGAACAGAAGCCAGCTCAGAGAGTAGCAGTGGGGTTCCTTGCCACACCCCCTCCTGAAACACTGTCTTTGTCTCTGGGCTCCTCTAGGGCTGTATGAACTTCACCTCACCACTGATGGTCCTGCCACCACTGGGGCAGAGGTGACCATCACAGCCAGCCTGGTGGCCAATGACAATGGCAGCCTGGTCCTGCCCAGCAGCACCCACCTCTACCACTTTCACTGGATCCATACCCCGCTGCTGCTCACAGGGAAGACCGACGAGGCTTTCAACTCGACCATTCATGCCGTGGGGAATGTGCCTGGGGACTTTCCGGTCTCTGTCTGGGTCACTGCTGCTGACTGCTGGAAGTGCCCACCTGTGGCGAGGAGCCTCCTTGTCCTCCCCATCACAGGTGAGGGCATTTCTTCTTTGCTAATTTGCCTTCAAAGTTGGTGCAGAGAAAAACATCCAGCCTGGCTGGTAATCGCATAAATGCAAATTAGACCCGTTGTTTCTTCTCTGTTGTCAGTTAACAGCAGATCAGAAAATGGTAATACCCACTGCAGGCAGTGTTGTGCTGAAATGAACACTGAAAGCACATATTGCTAGTGGGGATATAAATTAATACAACCCTTTGAAGAGCAGTAGATCTGTTATGTATTAATGGTGATAAATTAGTCCTTGGTCCATTTGTTCTCATTCTGTCTATCTCCTTCTAAGAAGTTCCTGCTCTCTTGGAGTTACAATCTATTAAAGTATTTATCTTCATGAAATAAACCTCCATTTGGGTAATGCTTTAGGCACAAAGATATTCATTGCAGTGGTGTTTATAACAGAAGAAAATATAGACAAGGATGCAACCATAAGGGACTGGTTAAGCATATTGATATAATTTGTATAACAATGAATAATGACCTTTACAAAGAGTTTGTAATGTCCTGGGGGAATACTCATGCTTGTAAAATTTTGAAAAGCAAAACACAAGTTCTATAACCAATTTGATCAACTGTGTTTAATATACTTATACATTAAATGTGTACACACAGATATGTTGCAGTTCTTTCAGAACATCCACAATGGTTTTGAAGGATACACAGTTTCTTTTCTTTTCATTTTACTTTTCAGCATTTTCCAAATTAGTTTATGGAGCATGCGTTACTTTCTGCTTTTGTGGTAACAAATCAGCTCTTACATTTTTTTAGAGGAGACACAGAATGGTGATCCTCACCCAGCCCAGCACATTGTGTGTGAGGATGTGATCAGTAAAACTGCTAATTTGTCTAGGCTCATCTAATATTTTGAAACATTTCCTGAAAGTTACTTGCAGAGCTTATGTACTTCCTTCTGGCCCTGGACATCTTTGTGCTAGAAAGTTCAGGGTCCTGGTGAATGAGCTGCAAGAGCAAAGGAATGTCATCTGCCTGTGACACAGACCATGAGTCTTAACCAGTGTTACGCAGCACCTCCATGTTCAGTGACCTGCAGGGTCCTATCTTGCCACTACTCAGTTCTAACAGCCAGAAGGCCAGGGCTGGGAGAGCTGCCCTGCTAGCTCACATGAGGTCCCTCCCTGGCTCCCCCCTCCCTCCACCTCAGAGGACTCACCTGCCTTCCATCTCTCTTTCCCAGAGCTTCTGGTGGGGAACCTTGTCGTCACCCAGAACACATCCCTGCCCTGGCCCAGCTCTTACCTCACCAAGACAGTCCTTAAAGTTTCCTTCCTCCTTCATGACCCGAGCAACTTCTTCAAGACAGCCTCATTTCTCTACAGCTGGGACTTCGGAGATGGGTATGTCCTTCCCTTGACGTCCCAAAGCCGTGGGCCGTGGTTGGTGACCCTGCCATCCTATGCAGAGTGCTCTGTACTTTCCCACCTTCACCTGTTCACTTTCTCATACCAAACATTCCTTGAGCACCTGCTCTGTGCCAAACTTGGGGTGCATGGGGACCAGTGGTGAGTCAGTCACAGGACCTGCCTTTGAGGTACCTACAATCTAGTAGAGGAGGGCACTGGTGCCCAAAACTGCCCTTTAAGGAAAGACAACATAGGTAGGATTTTTCTCCCTCCATATGGAGGGACCTCACTGATGATGACACGTGCGAGTACCTGTCCGTGCTAGGACTCAGGTGTTCCAGCTTCATTTCTCCTTACTCTCCTTCAAACAAGTCTGGCTGGAGGAGGTTGGGAAGTGGGGGTCAGACACTGAGCCCCAGAAATGCACAGACAACCAGAACTTGTGTAAGGGTGGTGCTTGGTAGTGACCCCTCACTCCACTCAGGTCCCCAGAGCCACTGGCCAATGGTCCCTCATGCTGAACCTGTAAGTTCCATCAGGGTGAGAAATGGTGCCTGTGAAGGGTCACCCTGGAGCCTTTGACGAACTTTGGGAACTCATTTGTGGGCTCCAAGGTTCCAGTGCCCTCTGTGCACACCCGAGAAACGTCTTGTCTTAAAGAAAGCCAAGATTTGGAAGGTAGAAAGTAGTGACTGGGGTGGAAGTTAGAGAGGCCTGTTGGGCTGCCCCCCACCTGGTTTTAGAGAGAGATACTTGTCTTTCTTCTTTGCAGAGATCCCAATCCCTAGCAGCAGGGAGCACTTCCTCCATGCTCCACTGAGAGTCATGCATGTCTAAAATTGTCACCAAAATTCTTTTACCTTTAAAGGAGAGCGAGCAATCCCCAGGCTCTTGAAGGAGTCCATCCCAAGAGCGGTGTGGCTTTCTAAGCTGTATCTGATACATTGAAACAGATGCACATTTTGTTCTCCACTCTCTAATGTTTCTGTGTTTCTTTTTATCTAAAAATAACAGTAACATCTCTGGAAGATGCTGAGCTTGCCCGTGGCCTTTGCATAACAATGTGAGAAGTATAGAAGTCAAGATTATTTTAGAATACTAAAATGGTTCGCTATTAGGAAACCTATAAAGATCATGCAATCATCTCTTTAGATGCCAAAAAGGCGTTAGAATGAACAGAAATGGATTTTCGATGTTATCTCAGTAAACTAGAAAAAGAAGTTTCTGGAACCAGCAGCAAACACTAGGTATTCTTAGCCCTTGGTGAGAAAAGAGATCTGTGGCCAAAGGCTTTTGGGGAATCATTCCACTGAAATGCTGGGGAACCCTTTCCTGCATTCAGGAAAAAGAAGGATACCTCTGTCATTCAACATTATCCGGAAAGCTCTAACTTACTCAGTAAGTCAAGAAAATAAATGAGATGTACATACTGGAAATCAGACAATTTACAGAAAAGATCTACTGAAAGAACTCAATAGGAACACTGTCCAATGGGAATTTAAGCGATATTAGAAATACCCTATATCGATGCCACATGTGGGCAGTACATATAGGAGAATGCAGTGCTATAGACCCAACAAGAAAAAAAAGAAAGAATTTGGTAGGGTAACAATTTAAAGTATCAGTAGCTTATGTACCAGTAATGAGTTAGAAAATAAAGTGGGGACTCCTTCTAATAATAGCAAAACAATATATAAAATAAACATAGGAACACACTTACTTGGAAATGAGCAAAATCCTGTGTGAAGATAACTATAGAGCAATGAGTGGAATCATCTGGACATCAAGTCCAGGATGGTGAGTCTTTAAATTATAAAGCTGCCCATCCCAGTTACTCTGTAGGTTTAATGGAAATCCGATAAAAATTCCAGTAAGGATAATGTTTGAAATGTGACAAAGATTTTACAGCTCATCTAAATTTGGTGTATAAATATACAAATGTATACACACACACTTATACATATATAATGTACACAAATACATTATATATATATGTAACAGGTCTCAAACCAGGGGACAATCTCCATACTTACTAGGGGCATTTCTTTTCACATTAAAGACTATTTCTTTAAACATGAAAGACTTCACTTGCTATTTCTACTGCAAATGAACGTTTTTGACTAGCTAATGAAATAATAGAAGACAAACAAATATGAATATTGTATGGAGGAGACAAAAACCATCATGCAAAATGACAATACTGTTTACCTGGGAAACACAAAAGACTCAACTAAATAATCTTAGAACCAAAAAGAAATTTTAGTAATATGGCTGATTGCAAAAAAAAGAGTCATAGCATTTCCATAAAATGGCAATCAAAACAAGTCTTTTGTAATAGTTTTAAGACATAAAAACTGAGAGAATAAACTTAGCCTGAAATTATAGGATTTATGTGAATAAAAACACAAAATGTACTGAGAACCCTAAAAAGACAAAAAAAAATGAGAGAAGTTCACAGTATTGTAAGGAGAAAAAAAAAGATCAGGAAAGGAGAATGATGATAAGTGAGGATGAGGAGAGGAACTGGAAATACATACCTAATGTGTTTTAAAAGCTACAAATATTTGCATCAACAAAAGGCAACTCAATGAAACAACAGAATAAGCAGGAACAAACCTAGGTTTAAATACACATTTGGTATGTGAAAACTGCTACTTCTAGCCAGTAAGTAAAGACAGCTTATTTAGTAAATGGTTACTAGGGCAGCTGGTTAACTATTTGGGGAAAAAACAATCTGACTCCCTAACAAAAGTAACTCCAGGTAGATTAAAAAATTAAATTTAATGCACCAGAACTAGACTGAAATATAGATGATAACCTGCAATTAGATAATTTGGCAGTGAGAAAGGCATTTCTAAGTACAGAGCAGAAGATTTAAAGCAAAAAAAAGAAAAATGCTAGATTTGGCACCACCAGATTTAAAATCTGAGCATGAAAGAAATAAAGCAAGATAAAGGTTAAACTGGGAGAAAGTATTTGGAAGATACATAATAAAGGCTTGTTAAACTTCATATGTAAAGAGCATTGACAAATCAAAACAAAGATCTTATTGGACTTCCTTTTGAAGTGATTTAGGTAACTGCAGGGAAAAATCATGATATTATACACTTTATAGGTTACAACATAATCTGTAGTGGAGATATGATTCTATTTTACTGATGAAAAAAGTAAGGCTTAGAGTTATACAGTTAGGAAATCGAGCTGAGATTTAAAGCCAGATGTGTCTTAACCCCAAGGTTTTTTTACCTACACCCACCTCAAGGTTCATACTTTTCCCCTCCCCAGATTGTCCCTGTCTCTAATGAACACCTGTGCCAGTAGTTCTCCCCTGTAACTTAACAAGCATAAAGATGACCAGCAGCCACTTACCCAGAGACAGCTGACCTTGTGCCCTGGCTGCTGCTGCAATGACCCGTTTGCTCATGAGGCATTGGCAGCCGCATGTGTCACTCACTGTACAGCCACTCCTGACACTAAGAAGTCAAGTGAGTCACTTCTGTCATCTTTCTCCTCCCTGTCACCTTCCAGCACCCAGATGGTGACTGACGATGCTGTGGTCTACTACAACTATTCGATCATTGGAACCTTCACTGTGCAGCTCAAGGTGGTGGCAGAATGGGAGCAGGCAACTGTGGATGCTGGGAAGGGCACTGTGCAGAAGACGGGTGACTTCTCTGCCTCACTGAAGCTGCAGGGTGGGTCTCCAGGGCTTGATGCAGGTTGAGCATTTAGCCCCTCAAGGGGCCCAGAGCAGTGCTCCTTCCAGGACTGGGCCGCCACAAATCAGAGTGGCTCCAGTAGGGCACTAGGCTGAGCTTGGGCCAACATCCTCTCCTTCCCTGGCAGCCCTCCGAGCAGTCTGTTATTTCCCACTTCTGAGAGGGCACTCAAGGCCATGGAGGAGGTCATGTGGCCACCAGGTGGCAGAGCTGGCCCGCCTGCTCTCAGAGCAAGCCTGTGGCCGGACACCGCTCTCTGAGGTGAAGCATTCACATCGCACTTTGTTTCCCAGCCACTTCAGCCTCCATCAAGGAAAATCCTGTCATGGCTGGGACAGCCTCAGTCTACTGCAGAGAGGGAACACCCAAGCCCGCCTCTCCCTGGCAGGATGGGCAGGGAGTGGTTACCCTGAGCAGCCCTCGGTCCTGCTGTCCAGAGCCCGCCTGCTTCTTGCAGCTTCCTCACTGTGAGCCAGCTCCAGCGCCGGCCGTTGATGGGGAGGCTGAACCCAGGCATGCCCTGGACAGACCTGCGACTGCCTTGGGAGAGGGCCAGGGGGAGGACATGGTGGTCTCAGAGCCCCGGGCTCTGGAAGCTCTGGGATGGCTGTCCTCGGTCACCAGATCTAATGGGGCCCTCTGCCTTTCAGAAACCCTTCGAGGCATCCAGGTCTTGGGGCCTACCCTAATTCAAACCTTCCAGAAAATGACTGTGACCCTGAACTTCCTGGGGAGGTGAGTGAACCCGAGTGGGCTGTGGCCCTGCCCTCTCTCCCCACCAGGTGATCCTGAGCTGCTCAATCGGCAGAGGGGCCCAGGTCTGGGGGCTGGTGGGAGGGTGATGCCATTCTGCTCTGCGACTGCCAGGGGAGAGCCATGGGCACAGTGCCACTGTCAGGCCCAGGGGACGGCAATGCGAGCATCAAGGCAGAGGCATGTGAAAAGCCCTCTGTGTGTCTTGGGCTTGTTTCCAGGCCCCAGGAACCAGCTCTTGGCAAGAACAGCATTAGGCTGAGTTTGTAATAAGGGACAAGACGTGAAGATGCCGAGTGTGCTCTCCCCACAAGGGTAGACAGAGCTGCAGAGGTCAGTGGCGAGGGCCCAGCCCCCGAAGGCTCTCTAGGAGAAGACTAACTAACCCACCACCGTGTGGGCACACGTCAGAGGGAAGCAAGGCTAGACCGGGAGCAGGCAGAGTGACCTAGGAAGGAGGCAGATGAGCAAGCAGCTGGAGATGGCTTCCGAAGCATCCTGGCCTTCCTAGGACTTGCTCTGTGGTCATCCTCCTTGCTGAGCCATTTTTGAAAAGCCACCCCCATGTCCCTGCAGCCCCCCTCTTACTGTGTGCTGGCGTCTCAAGCCCGAGTGCCTCCCACTGGAGGAAGGGGAATGCCACCCGGTGTCAGTGGCCAGCACAGCCTACAATCTGACCCACACCTTCAGGGATCCCGGGGACTACTGCTTCAGCATCCAGGCCGAGAATGTCATCAGCAAGACGCACCAGTACCACAGGATCCAGGTGTGGCCCTCCAGTAAGTGACACCTTGTCTTCTGCTCCAGCACCCCACAGGTCGCAAAACCCAGGTAACCCTGCCACCACCAACAGGCTACCACCAGCCAATCTCACCGACACTGGAATCATCAATAAACCTACTGGCCCCAACTGACCCCATGATCAGCTGCCCACTCTTCTCCCAGCAGATGCTGCTGATGCCACCAACAGCCAGCCCCAGTGCCCATTAGTTTTACCTACACCCACCCCAACACCAGTACCACTAGCAGTGACAACAGCCAGCTCACTGGCTACCAGCCAGCAGGACCACCACTGCTACATGCACTGCCACCAGAGCCAGCAGACAGCTCTGTACCCTCCCTCCTGCCCCACCACCGACACAGCCATCAGTGCCCTCCCATCAGCCCTGCACCAACCTCCCCCCACCCCACCGTCAGCCAGGCTGCAGCTCTCTCATTGCCACTTTCACCACTGTCGCTGTCCATGTCCCCCTGCAAGTTACCAGGGCCACACTTGGCCCCAGTACAAATACTCGCACACTAAAATGAGCCACAATGGTCACAACACTCCCTCCCTTCCCACCATTGCCCCTGCCCCAGTGCCTTTACCCTGGCCCTGTTGCCACCCCCCATGGTGGCTCTGGAACTCGGGGCTGTTGAGGGTCTCCCCAGAAGTGTGAGCTGCTCAGAAAGTGGGAGATACAGTTCCTATCATTCATAGGGACGCCCAGCCATCTCCCCCGGGATGCCCTTCCCCAAGCCACCATCAGACCTGGCCACTGGCTTATAGTCACAGGATTAGCTGATGGTGGCATTAGGTTCTACCATTCATTTCTAGGGCAGACTGTTATGTGAACCCAGAAAAGTACCCTTATGTAGAAGGGAAAGTAGGATCTCAGAACCCTACAGGAAGGTCTTTCAGATGCTCAGCCAGTCCCAACCTGTAGACTACAGAGGAGACCCTGCCAACTACCCTTGCCCACAAAGCCGGTCCTGTAAGTGTACCAGAGGCTGTCGGTGTTCCTTCTGGCCACCCCAGCCCCTTGCGAAGCCCTTGAGCAGGTGCCATGCTCTGCTCTGGGCCTAGACTGACCTTCTGGGCCAGGCAGAGTCTGCGACCTGTGGGCATCATCAGGGGTCTTAGGCCCTGCCTCCCCCAGCACCCGATGAGCACTGAGTGCCAGGGACCCCCCTGAACTCTGTGGAGAAGCCAGCATTCCAAGTAATCAATGCTACCCCTTCTTGGGAAATAGATCCTATGACATATGATGGTGTCTGTACCAGGAGGAGGGTCGGAAGGAGTGAGGAACCTACTGTGCACCTGGCACAGTCACACACATCCCCAGAGCAGCCACGCAGGTCAGCATTAGCATCAGGTAGCTTGGCTGGAGCCAGGATTTGAACCCAGGACCACCTAACTCTAGACAGTGGGCTCTTCCTGCTCTGCCATTCAGCTTCCTGGCAGCAGGATCAGCAAGCCCAGAGCTGCTGGAGGGCAGAAGGCTGTGACAGAGCTCAAAGGGCTGCTCAGGTGTCCTCACAACATGGCTTCCCTTCTCCAGTGCATCACCCAAGAGACTGAGGAAGAACATTTCTTATGGCCTAGACTTGGAGTTTTTGCTGTCATTCCTGTCATATGCTATTCATTAGGAGCAAGTTATTAAGTCCAGCCCACACTCAGGGGACTGGGAACTTAACTGCACCTCTTGAAAGTGACTATCAAGTAACTTAAAATCCTTATATGCCCTGACTTGGTCTTTCTGAAATCCTAGATTTGCCTGTTGGGGTTGCCTAACTGAGGGACATACATAGCTCTGGTGGGGTCTGACTGTTCTATCCCCTGCTGTGGTCTCCTGAGAGCTAGCATTCGGGACCAACCACGCAGGCCTGTGACTTCACCTCTCTTGTTCCCAGGCATCCAGCCGGCCGTCTTTGCCTTCCCGTGTGCCACATTCATCACCATGATGCTGGCCTTCATCATGTACATGACCCTGCGGAATGCTGCTCAGCAAAAGGACATGGTAGAGGTGGGTGCTCAGGAGGGTGAAGCTGGACCACTGGACCCTCACCAGGGATCCATGGGGAGGGTCCAGGGCCATGGGAGGGAGGCTGCATGTCAGAGCAAGGTCCTGGCGCTGGGGGTGATCTGCCCAAGAGTCATCCACAGACCAGGCCAAATCAAGTTGGCTTCTTCCTGTCTGATTCACCCTTTGTGCTCGCCCCTTGCCTGCAGATATGCCCATGAACTGGTAAAGGAGCAGGAGGGCAAGCAAAGGAGGGAAACCCAGAGAGCACATTGCTTGGCCAGAAAAGCATTTCTTGTACTCTGCCGCTGGGCTGCTGAGCTCATAAGGCCACCTAATGGGGCTCCTGGCAGGCGGGTGATTGACCCGTGGGGTTTTGTTCACCATAGGTGGCTGATTTTGACTTTTCCCCCATGTCTGACAAGAATGCGGAGCCACCTGCTGGGGTCAGGTGCTGCTGCCAGGTGTGCTGTGGGCCCTTCTTGCTGGAGACCCCATCTGAATACCTGGAAGTTGTCCGCGAGAACCATGGGCTGCTGCCACCCCTCTACAAATCCGTCAAAACGTACACGGTGTGAGCACCCCCACCCCCATCCCATCTCAGCACTGACTGACTGCCAACAGGGAGCTTCAGGCAGGGTGGTGCTCATGACCAAGCAGGAGGGGTTTGCGCGTGGGGGCTGTCTGCCCTGGCCAGCCACCCATCTGTAATTCTCTGTTACACAGCCCAGCCATCATCCATCTGTATAGTCAGCCTCTGCTGTGAGCCTCTCGGTCGGCTGCACCCCACCCCTGGCCTCTGAAGAGGCCCCAAGCAGGACTCGACGTGGTCCCTCCTCTCTCCCAGGTGTGCCTGGCTGCCCCTCACCAGTTCTTCCCTTACCGGTATATCTGCCATCCCTCTGGGGTGAGCTTCCCCCCCCCAGGTGGCCCCACTTAGGTTAGAGAGCTGGGAGGAAGGTCACAAATAGTTAAGGCTACGTCACAAAAGGTCATACATACAGAGACAAGCATACACACATGCACACAGCACAGAAAACACATGTGTCACACAGCCATCTCAGATGACTTCCTGTGTGTCACTTATATCGGTTGCTGGGCTGTACCCTGAATTAGAACTAAAATGAAATGTGACCTTCTCTACTTGCCCCACACTCCTGGGCCCGGCCCCTTCCCTCCCTTTGTGTGCTGCCCCTGTGGCTACTGGACCCTATTCTAAGGACACTATTTCTGGACTGCTTGCTTGGGTTTTGGTAGGGGCAGGGCCGACACTGTGTGAGTGCTTTATGGTGTGCAGAGCACCTTCTTCTATTGAGACCACTGTAACTGCCACTGAGGAAAAGGCCATGCAACAAAAGAGGAGTCAAGCCAGTGGGGACTTGGGTTCCCTGCAGGGGGAACAGCGTTCTTACCTGTTCAGCCGCCCCCAGGGTGGCCTTGAGAAGGAAGGGGCAGTGTTAGATGGAACCAGCTCGCTCCTTTCTCCTGTGGCCCTGAGGCCTGGGAGAGGCAGAGCACGTGAAGAGAGCAAGTTTGGTGCAGAAGGAGACCAGAATTAGGCCCTAGCACAACCACGCAGGAGTAATGGGAGCAACCTAGGCCTGTTTGCAGGGTGACGGAGCTGGAGCTCTGTTGCTGTAACCATTTGCTCTCCAACTTTGTGCACTTTTCCCACTGTCATGCAGCTCATCTCATGAAATACTGCCATTATTGCTGAATAAAGCTTTTGTGCTCTGAATGTAACCAAGCATATGCCGGGTGGCAGGTCTCTTTTCTTTTTCATGCATGGACATTTGGGCCTTGCAAGCAGCTCGAGTGGTTCTCAGACACAGCAAGACATCCCCATCATCTTTGGCAAGCAGACTGGATGGCACCACAGTGTGGGCTTGGGTCCTAGTCAGTGGTTCAGACCCATGGTTCTTAAACTGTCCCTTAGGCTGCACTGCACTGACAAGATTCTGATGAGGGTCTCTCAGAGGTGTGGCCCATGTCCCTGGGTGACTCCAAATGCAGCCAAGGCTGAGACCCCAGGCAGATTCTAGATCAGAGCAGGAAGGTAGGAACTTAGAAACTCAGATCCTTGGGCCCACCTCACACCTGAATCAGCCCTGGAGCTGCGGTGGTGTGGGGAGCCACGTGTGTTTCCACAAAGATCTGGGATCCTGGTGCGCCGCCAAGCATGAGAACCTCCAGTCTCGGTAGGGCTTCTAGAACTTGGATGTGTGAGAATCCCAGGAGGTCTTGTTAAGTGGCCTGTCTTCATCCAGAAGTCTGCAGTGGGTCCTGGGATTCTGTATTTCCAGCATGATTTCCTGATGCCGTGGGTCCAAGGGCCACACTTTGAGCTACAAACCTCTGCAGCTACTGCCTTCCTAAACTCTTTTCTTTCTGGAAGAGACCTAGGGTTTTTTCTTAATTGCCTCTGCTCTCTGCCACCTTCATCACCCAACCCACCCAGGGGGTGTGCCCCAGTCCTCAAGGAGCTGGACATGGGTGGGAACACACCCTGACCCCACCTCTGCTGTACCACTCTGGGAAGCCCCATGTTTAACAAGCCAAGTTGTTGAGGGAACTTTCTCAGGGATCAGCATCATTGGCTTGTGGAGCGGTTGCTACCACACACACCTCTTTCTCTGACCAACCTCCCCCCCACCAGCCAGGGTCAACTGCATCACTCAGGGTTTGGGGTGGGAATGAACCTGGGTGTTGCTGGGGACCCTGATGCCTCGGAGAACCAATTAGAGGATCAAATGAAACCTTGGAGAAAAGGGAACTGTTCTTGCCCTGAGTTGCTGTAAAGTGTTCCTAGTAGAGGAGGGGCAGGTTATCATTTTAGAGCCGCTACCTGGCTTGACAGGTGACTTCAAGAGAACCCGGGATAAAAAAACATCTGAACTCCACCCAGTGGTTGCTCACGCTGCAAAAGGACTTACATCAGTGCAACCACCCAGGGAATTGGGTGTTTGTCTTACAGTAGTTGGAATTTTTTTGAAACGAATTGTCAACGACCTGGCCTGTTGGATTCTTGGCCCCCACCTCTGCAGAGTCCCAGATAAATGGTGATTTCTGAACTTGCCCTCTCATGAGGCAGTGTGCTCCACCTGGAAGACCAATCTGAGGGGTAGAAAAATCTTCCATGATTCATGCATGCTGAAGACAGTTGCTGAGTGTCTGTAAGCCCAGCAGTGAGCCTGCAGAGTCCTGGCACCCAGGGCCTTAGGTTCTGGAGATTTGAGATCAGTTTCCCTTGCTTCCTGGTCACCAAGCTGTCTCTGTCACAGATGGGATTTTCTGCAGAGAGCCATTCCTCTGCAAGACAGAAGCAATCTGCTCCTTCCTTCCCAAGCTGGCCCTAAGGATATTTGAAGACCTCCCTTCTGCCACCTGCACACCCCCAGTCCCTTCCGCTGGTCCTCAGGTGACAGACTTGTTAAAATAACTTTTATCACTTTACCAAGACCCACAGAAAGCATGGAAACATATTCCAGTACAGAAGAAGAAGAAAATAAAATTGGCCCATAATCCCATCAGTCTATTCTGTTCTCTCTGTTCTCTATTAAAATTTATTTTTCTTTTTTAAAGACTAGGATAATTTTGTTTTGTAACAGGCTGTTCTTTTCTCAGTATTAAGGCATGAATATCCTTTCAGGTCATCAGATAGTGTTCCACAGTTTTACCTGAAATGCTTATGTCCTAGACCATTTAAACCATAACGGTGTCCCCTACATGCTCTCTGATCAGATAGCAGGCTGTTTCTAACAGGAAAGGCAATGCTGTGGGTAATTCCCCTGCAGTTAACTCCTCATATAAGTCTACATTATTTCCTTTAAAAACACAAAGGTTAAAAAAATAAAAAATAAAAAAACAAAACCCCAAATAAAATCCAAAGGTAAAAGTGGCTGGGAGAAAGGATTACATATTTGTAATCCTTTGGATTACATATTTCCGGTTTGCCCTTCTGAGAGAGCCATGATGTCATAAGGCCCCTGCCGCCACGGCAACCTGGTTCTTAGAATCCTTCCAGGCCACAACTGACCACAGTTGGGCCACTGACTGGACACTGTCTGGCAGCGTGGCCAGACCAGGGTCCTTTCTCTCCCCACTCTCCGGTCTAAGCCTTGTTTTCTCTGCGAGTTAAGGTGCTGGAGATGCAGAAAGGGCTCCCGGGCCTCCCTTCCAAGCCTACTGCGGTTCTAAGAGGTGGGGGGCGCTTCAGCCCAGCTCTTCCATGTCCCCAGGTGTCTCTAACCTGGGCTTTCTCCTTCCGTTTGTTTAGACCTGAGGCTGGGCAAGCTTCAGGTGCCTAGAGAGGCTGACGAAGGAGGCAGGGCCACCTCCGGGCGCCCGAGGAAAGGAAAGCAGCACCCCACTTTGCCTGAGAGCCCACTTCTGGACTGCAGCCTCCTGGGAAGGTGTTGAGCAGCACCAGCTCCCGGAGCAAGCACTACCTGATGCACAGCCAGGAATGGACACATGTTTGAGGAATCTGCAGCAAGGCCTTTAAGCGCCACAACCAACTGTATGTAGGAGTCTGGTCACCAACGTCTGTGAAGGGGCCTGGGGGAGAGGGGGCGAGTTCCTAGATCGTTCTCATTGCCTCTCAGATGAGCCCCTGTCAGTGTTGGGTCCCTGTGACCTGTGCTTAGATGCGGACTCCATGTCTTGGGACAGGCCTGACACTGCCCTGAACAGGTCACCCTTCCCAGCTCCCAAAGTCACACCAGTGAGAAAATCACTGCCTTGATTTGCAGATGGGACCTCCTGAGACAATTTTGTCATGGAGGGAACCAGGTTAACTTTATAGAGAAATGTTTGGAGACAGTGGTAGGAGCCTGAGGAGAACCAGCCCATGTTTATATGAGGAACATGTGCCAGGACTCCACAGGGCATGAGAGATTCCAAAATACCTGTGTCTAGAACGTGGCAACGGAGCATTAACTCGTTTGTCTTTTTTAAGTCCTGATTTTTTTTTTTAACTCTTGATTTTAAAAGAAAGCCCATTAGGAGTCTGGAGCAGAATTCCCTTTGTTCCTATGTCTCTTAAATGATAAGCTTTTCTTGCTAGTGAGGAAGGACAGACAGACCTCCTCAAACCAAGAGACTGGCAAGTGGGAGTCGGTAGTCCATTGCGTTTTATATGCTCCTGGCCTTGCCATGGGGCTTTGACTGACCCCCCTTCCGACTCATCCTCTCGCCAAGCACCCCCTCAGAGAAAGGCAGCGATTTACTCATGTCACAGACCAGTTAACAGGGGAGCTGGAGATTGGGTCTCTGCCATTCTCCTCCGATGGAGGCTAGGGCCGCCCTTTGGAGAAGGGCTCTGTCATTTGTCAGACACGCCCCATGTGCCACATTATTAGGACTGTCCAGAGTAGGGCTGTTGGGAATGCGGAGGGTGATTTACTCATCTGTTTATAGTTATTAATGTAGATATAAGAATGACATAAACATAGTGCATATTTGTATTCATTTATATTATAGGAGGCACATTTAGCTATTTTCTAGAAAGTTCTGATTGGGCATCTGTAAATTGTATTTTTTCCTGTGAGGGGTTTCAGGCAGCTGTCTCCTTATAGGAATTCTATGGTAGGGGAAAGACTCCTTTGTTAAAGACAGGATCCTCCCCAATGAGCTTTTCCTCAAATGTATTCCGCAAAACTTGGTTCTTGAGGGAACTAAGAGGAACTATTTCAGAAAACAGTTCTGTGGGCAACTATGTTTCAGAGACATGGCAGGTTAAACAGATGACCCTCTATCTATCTACCTGCTATGTGGCTGTTACATTTGCTCCCCCGAACCTCCAAGAAGCACATGGTGCTCGGTCGGGACTGACTTGCCAGTGGAGCCCATGTCCTCAGGGAGCCACTGTGGAGGGCTGGTGTTCCTGGGGAACCCATTCTGGGGAACTCTGGCCTGGCTTCTGTTGATTTTTCTCTCAGATAAGGGGTTTGCTTAGTGATGAGGGAGGGGGGCACCCCTTCCAGATGTTTTGACTGTAGCCGGGGCTGAGTGCAGGTTCTGAACTGTGGTTCTGAGCTCCACTGCCCCTTGGGACCACTGTGGGGGGAGTCAGGCTCGGGACCCTGCAGTGGGAGGCTGAGCCCCAGTGCCCTCTGACTCCCTTTTTGTGTTTGACTGCAGGACTGGGCACATGCTCCCCCACCAGAAGACCAAGCCTTTTGCGTGCATGGAGCAGGGCTGCAGCACAAGCTGCTGTGATGACCGCTCCCTGCACTGGCACTATGAGGTCAAGCACAGCTTGTGCATCCTAAACGAGGCCCCCCCTGAGGAAGAAGCCCGTGGGGACTCCTCTCCTGCCCACGAGGTGGCCGGCCAGCCTGCTGCGGATGGCCTGCAGCCCCTGGTGCCTCCAGAAGCCAGGTCACCAGGCTCCCTTTTGCCCAATCGAGACCCCCTGCGCTCTACTGTGAGCAGCATGGTCCACCAGGAGATCTCTTCCCCTGGCCCGGTCCTGGCCGGGCCCTCAGATGACAGGGAAGGGAAAAACACAGCCTGCCCCTGCCCACCCTCACTGGGGCCCTACCCCTGCACCCCAGTGGCCCCAGGGAGCCTGGGCACTGATGTTCCCGAGGAGTGTCATCCCCTGTGGAAGGAGCCCACCACTGGGTTCACAGCCACTCATTCCAGGGTAGCAGAGGATGGTGGTCCTGACACAGCTGAGTTGGAGCGGCCGCCCCAGCTACCACCCATCCTGGAGTGCGGGCAGGAGGGTGGGACCCTGCCGGCCGGCCTGCCTCTGTTCCAAGGCCAGGCAGCGCCTGACAGGGCCCAGCCTTCAAACCACAACTTCCAGTGGCTCCAGAACCTGCCAGGCTGCCCCGAGAGCGATGGGGACGATGTGTTTGTCATCCAGAAGCCCACTTCAGTGTCCCCTCAGGAGGGCTCCGAGTCTGGGCCCAGGCCCAGCAGCACCTCCCTGACGGGGGAGGCCTCAGGCTGCCCTGGATATGCCGGCGAGGAAGGGGACACCAGGGCTTCCAAGAAGAGCGATTCTGACAGGGACTCCTGCTCACGGCAGCACGTGGAGGAGCCTGGCCTCCAGGAGGCCCTGAAGCCGAGCGGGCTGTCGTCTGACGCCACACCGCTCTCTGGGCAGCTGTTCCTGAAGTCGCAGGAGAGTCTGGTGAGTCAAGAGCAGATGCAGGTGTTCCAGATGATCGCCAAGTCCCAGCAGATCATCTCTGGCCCCCGGGTGGCTGTGGCCTCCTCCCAGCATGCTATGCCTGAGGGCAAGCAGGCTGTGCTGAAGCCACTGCAGGGGCCGCGGCCCCACCAGGCCCCACCACTGGCACCCACAGTTGACTCTTTCCACCCTGGCCCTGCAAACCCAGAGGCAGAGGGATCCCTGCCCCACAAAAGAAAAACCATGCCCGCCTACCCCAGGGAGGTCTTGCCCGGCAGCAATAGACAGGACATGAAGGGAGGACCAAAAGTGGCCCCTGCACCATGGCAACCCTCCGGGGACCCAGACATCCCCTCTCTGGCCAAGCAGCTGAGATCCATGAAAGGGCCCTTAGACCTGGGGGACATCCTCCCCACAGAGGGCCCACGGCAGACCCAACTAGGTGGGGACGACCCTGCTGGAGCCCAGCTCTCAGGGAAGCAGGCCCAGGCGGAGAATGGCCTGGCCTTGGGGGCCATGAAAGGTGCAAAGGGCCCAGCCTGCTCCCGGCGCAGAGGTCACAGGCTCATCCCTGGCAACCCGCAGGACAAACGTTTCTCGGACTTCCAGAAGGAGAAGGTGAAAATGGATATGTGCTGTGAGGCCTCTCCCAGCAAGGTGGCCATGGCCTCCTTCTCGTCAGTAGGTCCTTCGGTGGACCCCCCACAGGACTCAAAGCCCAACCTGATGATATCCAACAGGATCCAGGTACCTGACTTTATGCTGTGAGATGAGAGTCTCACTTATCAGTTGTTTCTGAATTTATGAGTCATCCAGGCATTTTATTTAGTGCCTGTGCATCCTCAGACCTAGTTTTACAGAGGGGAAGTGAAGGTTCGGAGAGATCGTGGCCTCCCCACCAACCTCCCCCGCAAAAATGCCAGGATGAAGGCTTTGCAGAGTCGTTGGGATGCCCGGTGTCACCTTTCCTCACTGAGTTTTTTCTGCTTGCTTTCCTCTTGCCCTTCTCTTCCTTCTGGGTTTGCCCCTCAAATTCTTCAGAGGATATAAATCGAGAGTTCCTTCCCCCTCAGTATTCCTGCATGAGATGCCATCTCTGGCTGTGGGGCATGGGTGCCCACATGTGTCAGCACTTGTGCAGCATTAGCTTGGTTCCTTCGAAGGTGGTGGCCACGAGGACCTAGGCCCCAGGCGGTTAGCCACTTCTCTTTGTGATGTGCTCGGGTCTAGCACCTGACAGCTACATCCTTTTTTAAAAAAAAAATAGGTTTACTATTCACATGCCATCTAATTGACCATTTTAAATCACATCATCTGGTGATTTTTAGTATATTCATATAGTTGAAATCATACACTGTGGCCTTTCATGTCTGCCTTCTTCCACTCAGCATAATGTTTTCAAAGTTCATTCATGTTGTAGCATATGCCAGGGCTTCGCTCCTTTTTATGGCTGAGTAATACTCCATTGTGTGGATACATCGCATTTTGTTTATTTATTCATTGGTTGATGGCCATTTGGGTTGTTTCCACTTGGCCATCGTGAATAGTGCTTCTGTGAGCATTTGTACAAGTTTTTGTGGGGACGTACATTTTCATTTCTCTTGGGAATGACCTAGGAGTGGGATTATTAGTTCATGGGGTAGCTCTGTGTTTAACCATCTGAGAAGCTCCCAGGCTTTTCCAAAGCAGTTGTGCCCTTTCACATCCCCATCCACAGTGGACGAGGGCTCTGTTTTCTCCACTTGCTATTGTCCAATTTTTTTTTTACCATAGCCATTCTAGTGGGTGTGAGGTGCTGCCTCATCACGGTCTGACTCATGTGACTCTAACGGCTGATGGTGCTGAGCATCTTTTCATGTGCTTATTGGCCATTCAATTGTCTTTTTTGGTTTGGTGTCTGTTCATATCCTTTGCCCATTCTTGAACTGGGTTATTTGACTTTTGTTGAGCTGTAAGAGTTCTTTATATATTGTACATACAAGGCCCTTATGAGATGCATAATGTGTAATGATTTTCGTCCATTCTGTGGCTTCTTACTTTCTTGATGGTGTCCCTTGATGCAGAGAAGTTTTAAGTTTTGATAAGTCCAGTTTGTTCTCTTTCTGTGTCATCCAAGAAAGCACTGCCTAATCCAAGGTCAAGGAGCCACACCTGTGTTTTCTTCTCGGCACCTTGTAGTTTGAGTCCTTGCATCTGCCTCATTTTTGATATGTTGGCTCAGATGTGTCCCGACCCGCGGGACGAACGTGGAGTGTAGCCGGAGATGCCTGCAGAAATGAAACAAGCAAGGGACACAAAGAACGACCAGCAAGACAGGGTGTCTGATCAAGCTGGCACAGTTTATTGTTTGCAGGCTCAATTTATACAGGTTAGCAAGGAAGGGGCAGGTCAAAAGACAATTGGGCTTTAGGTGGCGCCAGCGGGAAGATGTAGAGGGGTGATTGGGCCTTGGTTGGCGCCGGCGGGAGCAGAGGACCCGGAAGAGAAGCGGGAAGTTCGCCATTTTGTGGGTGGGGGCCCTTTGGTCTCTGGCATCTCCTCCCTTTCTGTTCTTTAGGAGGGGTTGGAGCAGTACTTAGGGTGCTTTGAGCCACTTATCTTCTGGGTAGACGGTGCCTGTCTTAGGTTTAGAGGTCTTATACCTGGCCTCTGTTTCCAGGAGCTTGCCTCCTTTCGGAGTCGGCCTGGTATATTCAGGGGAGCTTGCCCCAATACTGGATCGGCCTATACATATAGGAGCTTGCCCCAGTATTAGATCGGCCCTTTTAACCAGAGGTCTTATATCTGTCCTGTATCTTTGCAGGTATATCCTCTTAATTACCCGTCATTGACTACCCGTCTAGTTGCCCAGGAACATTGTCAAGGAACAGGACGAGAAAACCTTGACGTGGCTCTTTTTTTATTCCCAAGTTACTGCTGGGTCTCTCCTGGCGCAAGGCTCTATGTAATGATCTACACCCTGATCAGCTAATGCAAGGCGATGATAATGAACTTGGATGGGCTTTGCTATTAGAGAGTCGATTTGCTGTTTGATTAGCATTGTGAGTCTTTTAAAGGCCCAGGGGCTTAAGGAAAGTATTAGTATTAATCCCAGGAGCGGGCCTAATATGGGAAGAAGGTAGGGGAGGAGTCCATTTAGTCTTGTCCAGAGAGGGTTGTCACGGAGCTCTTTCTTCCTTCTTTCGAGATCGTCTTGAAGAGTCTTTATCTTGTCTCGGACGATGCCTGACTTGTTAGCGTAGAAACAGCACTTTTCCTGTAAAACTAAACAGATACCTCCCTGTTCTGCTGTGAGGACGTCTAAGCCTCTACGGTTTTGCAAAACTACTTCTGCTAGAGAGTCTATTTGGTCTTGGAGATCATTAATTGTTCCTGAGAGGGCTTGGACTCGTTAATCAGTTGATGGGACAACTTATGGTAGGAATGTACGGCTATCCCTGCTCCTGCTGTTCCTGTGGCCACTGCGGTAGTAATCCCGAGGCCTACTAGGAGTGGGATAAGCTGGATGGCTCTTTTAGAGCGTGGATGCCCTGCTATATACTCAAAGCTGGGTATGGGGATAGGTTCTTCTCCTGGGATAATATCAATATCTGGGAGAATACTGGCTTGCACACATAACCCAGTCCAATTTGTGGGTAGGGCGGTGAAGGCCAGGTTTCCTCCACAGACAAAGACTTGCCCAATAGTGGGGCAAAGAGATGAGGTATAATTAAAAACTTGGGAGCAATTTGTGAAAGAGGCAAATCCTACGTTTACATCATCACTATTATTCTGGGGCTGCTTTAGTATGCATAGGGATGTGTTAAATCCTACAGGCTGTACTCTAAAGGGTGAGTTAAGAGTACAATTCTGTTCTGGCAGTGTATTGGTAGCGTTAGTGGGAATTGCGAGGGGCATAGGTGTACCAAGGGTCATGCATAGCCAGCAATTTTCAGCAAGGCTGGGATTAGTAGCGTTTAGTGTGCTATGGGTGGCTTTTAGAATATCAGCAGTCTGGGTGTCAAGATCTATGCCACGAGACTTGGGCAAGGCTAGAGGGTGATACTCTAGGGGAGGGTATCTTTCTTTGATAAGATCTTCAATTTTCTTTTGAACTTGGGCTTCTCTCACCCTGTCTGTTGGTCCACCGCCATCAGATATGTGAATCAGTGCTTGCGGTGGCCAGCAAATCTCTTTGCCAACTTGGCCATGGCAAGAGGCTTGTGCGTATTTAGAATGTCCTCGGGGGTTGCTATAATCATACTCGCCTCCAAAGGAACCAGTATAACTATTTTGTAAGATAGCTGTTAGATATTTTTTGCCATTAGCACCGGTGCACTGTTGGACAGTGCGGTAACAGGTAGAGTGTAATTCAGTGGCCTTTTGGCAGGGGTTGGGACAAGGCCCTGGTTTGTCATTAATTGTAGGTATAATTTTGGGCTTTCTTACACATTTCGAAGACTGGGGCTTCCAACCTACTCCGGATGAAAATCCGCCTGCAGAGATATCTGCTGTGAGGTATGCTATTTTGTCTTGGCAGTCTACGGGTCCTCTGGTAGTAAATTGAGATCCAGCTAAGTATTTTGTCCCTTGAGATGTTATTTGTAGTGGTGCTATGAAGGGCTGGCGCCATAAGGCGCCAGGGGTCTTTATCTTCATGGTAATGGGCAGCTTGCTCTTCTAAGGGCTCTTCATCTTTTGGGTTTAAATGATCTGTTTGGTGTCTTAAAGACCTGAGTGTAGGATAGATATTTGGGATTTTAGGGGGGTCAGGTTTATCGTGGGTGTCTGGAGATTTTATACTAGTTTGAAGTTTAGGAGATTCTTTAATAGGAGCGGTGGGGTCTTCAGGGATATCTACGGCTACTGAAGGACAGGCAGAGGGTGGTCGGGAGTTTTCCTTAAGGGCTATTTCTCTTGTCTTAATTATATCTTTAATGTCAGGATCTTGAGAATGGACCTCAAGGATATCATGAATAAGGTTCCAGTAAGAAAATGCTGAAACAGAAACTTTTTCAGGGCCAAATGTCTGATAGAAGTCTTGGAGAGCATCACCAACTCTCTTCCAACGTTTATGATCAATAGTGCCTTCGAGGGGGAACCAGGGACAAGTCTCATGGATAAAGGAAAAAAATTGTCTAAGATCTTTTCTTTTAACCCTTACACCTCGTGTCCTGAGGGACTCCTTGAGTCCGTTAAGAAATACCTCGTGGGAGTTCAGTGAATTGCCCATTAGAATACCTGGGCCTTTTGCTCTATGTAGGTTTAACTTTCTCCAATTCAGCCGCTACTATACCAATGTCCTGAGCCACTGGAGCTACTCTCATCAGCTCAGATGAGCCCCTGCTTACATAGGACGGCCGGCAGGTATAATCCACCTGCTCGGACCCTCTAGGGCAGGGACTCTGTAGTCAGAGTCCCCTGGGTATGCCTTTGAGGTGAACGACCGTTAGCCCAAAGTAAGCACAAGGTTTTCAGAGAGGAACAACCAGAGGACAAAACAAGGAATAAATCGCGGCAGCAAACTGGAGGGAGGTGATAAAACCAATCGGACTACTAACGGTGAGAACTCACAAGAGGTATTTTGAGATGCTTGCTTGGGGGATTTGTCTACTCACCTCCCGAGTATCTGTATCGGGTGAGCCGCAGTGATCCTCTCATGCAGAGTCGAGCATCAGGAAGGAACTCGTGCGATAACTCCTGTGCGATGACTCAAATGAATGCCTGGCCAGGGCTTCCAAGCAGACGTTTCAGCAGGAGTCCCGGGGTGCCCCACGTTGGGCGCCAGTTGTCCTGACCCACGGGACGAACGTGGAGTGTAGCCGGAGATGCCTGCAGAAATGAAACAAGCAAGGGACACAAAGAATGACCAGCAAGACAGGGTGTCTGATCAAGCTGGCACAGTTTATTGTTTGCAGGCTCAATTTATACAGGTTAGCAAGGAAGGGGCGGGTCAAAAGACAATTGGGCTTTAGGTGGCGCCGGCGGGAAGATGTAGAGGGGTGATTGGGCCTTGGTTGGCGCCGGCGGGAGCAGAGGACCCGGAAGAGAAGCGGGAAGTTTGCCATTTTGTGGGTGGGGGCCCTTTGGTCTCCGGCACAGATGTATTTTCATCTTCAGGATGGAAATACCTACTGGCTCCCCGATCCAGTGAAGGAGGAGAGCATGGCAGATGGATGGTAAGTTCAGAAGCCCCTCCCTGCCGGGCCTGGGGGCTCAACCCCTCAAGAGTCCTCTGGGGCTTTTATGTGCTGGCCTTGGGCGAGTGAGCTCTAGATGCTTCAGCCCTGAAGAGGTGCCCGCAGGCCACGAAGGAAGGGGGTATCATCTCCATTTCTGGGGATTCATCGAGAGTTGTCAGTGGATCAGACTTGAAAGCAAAAAAAAAAAAACCAGAAAATGCAGGGTGGAGTCCCCTTGCCTCGTTCTTCCCTCCTGCCCTGTCTCTCCACAGTAACCAGCAAAATGGAGGCCCTGCAGACTGGGCAGAGCCAAGGAGCACATATGTCTGCAAGAATTGCAGCCAGATGTTTCATACAGAGGAAGGGCTGACCAGCCATATGTGTTTGCCCAACGACCAGTGGCTGTCACCTCAAGGGAACCAGGACCAGCAGGTGAAGGGGCGCACGCAGTAGGTTCTGTGCTCGCAGGGCACAGACAGGCTTTGGGGGAGGGAGTCAGTGGCTGGGGGTCATTGTCCCAGGATGGAGGCGTCCTCTCGGGGAAGCCCTGCGGGTTCCATGGCCCTTCCCAATCGGGTTTACACTGGTGAGCTGGACAAAATCCTTCTCCATGGGGCTTACATTTTAATTTTAGGACAGTCAAAGGGAAATCTGTTTTCAAAAATTGTTAGTGGTTAGTGCTATGAAGAAAATACAATGGAGCGTGGCACAGGCAGGGCTCCTACAAATGCCAGTCCTTGACAAAGGAAGGAGCTGGTGCCGGAATAAATCCGCACACTGCTTCCTTCTTCAAGAAAACCCTACTGAGGAAAACACCAGCTGCACTCAGCAGTATGCATAGTGATGGAGCTGGTATGTCCACTGCAATTCACAGGCCGCAGCCAGTCCATGGCCCCACCACCTGCTGAGTACCCCTGGAGTGAGGGAGGCTTTAGGGGGGGCCTGTCAGTGCTTTTCAAATGAATGAAAGGATGAAGGCAGGCCTCCACCTCACCTTCCCTCCCTCAGAAAGTAGCCTGCTTTCCTTCCTGCTCCAGGTGGCCCTAGAGGCCCTCTTACTCAGCAGACCCCAGAAGCCGCCGACTCACCCACTGGCTGATTATCACTACACAGGTACTGGAGCAAGGCTGCGGGAGTGGGTGTGCCCGGCTAGTACCCGGGAGTCAGTTGGTCTTGGCGGCAGGCTCTGCTTGTGCCTCTGGGCGTGCTCTTGGGGCCCTCCTTCTCCTGCCTTTCCAGAAGGGCCTTTCCTCTCCAGGGGACCTCAGTGGGTGCCTCTTTTTCCTGGCTGGGTCCTCCCTTCCCCCTTCCAGTGCAGTGGTTCCCTCAGGGGCTGTGCCCAGCCAGGAAAGGGGATCCCCTGGCCAGGGAGAGGTGAAGGCGGACTCAGATGCAGTGGCTGAGCACCCCAGCCTGGGATTCAGGCAACTGGGGGTCCCTGCCTCCCATTGGCAAGTCTGTTAACCAATGGAAGTCTTGTTATTGCATCTGTAAAGTGGGGATAGTATTGGTCCCAACCTGCTAAGGTTTTTCTAAGGATTGTATGAGATAAAACAGAATTCTTGGCACATAATTGGTACTCGGTAATGACAGCTTTAAAAGGGGCAGGCTGCATTTCCGCCATGGCTGCGGCTGCAGAACTGTCCTTTTCCCTCCTGTTTCCCCGATAGGTTCAGTTGTCTGGACCCCCATGGAGAAGAAGCTCTTTAATAAAGGATTCTGTGTTTACAAGAGAAACTTTTCCTTGATACAAAAGATGGTAAGGTGTTCGTGGTTGGGCTGGTGTAGACAAGGCCTTGTCTCACCCCGCTGAGCCAAGCTAGAGCTGGAGGGCCTATCGGGGTGACACGCTGTTCACACTGTAAACTGCTTGTAGTTTATAAAGCCATTGATGTGAACACCTCCAGACAGTACAGAAATGCCATCACGTGCTCAAAGCCCTCCGCACCTATCCCCATTGTCCTACTTCTGAATGATGACCACTGACTTCAGTTGGGCACCTCAGGCATTTCTTTGCCTGTACAGATCTTATGTGCATATACATATGTACAAATACATAAATACATGTATTTAGAAAGGATGCGATTAGACTACACTTGATGTCTGCTGTTTTTTGTTCTTTTAACTTGATACACACAAAACTGCACGTAACCAAAATGTAAGATTTGATGTTTTGACATATTTATACCTGCAAAACCATCATCATGATCAAGATAAGAAACACATTCATCACCCCCAGAAGTTTCTTCCTGCCCCCGTGGTAAATCCCTTTTTCCTACCACCCCTGTCCCTAATCACCTCCTTATCTTCTTTCTGTCACTATAAGTTAGTTTGCATTTTCCAGTGTTTTCTATCAATCCTGCAGCATGTGCACTGCTTGTCTGCCTCATGTGGCTTCTTACACTCAGCATCACTATTTTGAGGTTCATCCATGTTATTGTGTGAACCCTTTTTCTTGCTGAGGAGTATTCCATTGTGTGGATGTAACAGTTCATTTAATCATTCCCCTATTGAAGGACATTTGTGTGGTTTCCAGGTATCTGCAATTATAAATAAAGCTTCTGTGAACATTCACATTCAAATCTCTACATGAACAAGTAGTGTTGGTGGCGGGGAGGGTGGTAAATACTTAGGAAAGGAATGAGTGGCTCACATGATAGGTGTACATTGAACTTTTTCAAGAAAGTGCCTTTTCATCTACTTCTTCCAGGTGGTTCTTTACCCAGTTTTGGGCCACCTCATGTGCACATGCTGGTCAGCACATTGCTGACTGCTTGAGGGGAGCGCCCCCCAGATCTCTGGAAGCCCACCTGGCTCTGCCTGGACCCCTCTCCCCAGGCCGTGGCCTGGAAACTCTCTCAGGGTGTAGTGTGTAGGGACAGTGGTAGCTTATTTTCTGTCTCTCAGAAAGACTTGTTCTTGGCTTGCCTAGCATCTTCCCAAACATCATTTCAGATGTTTTGACTGTTTCTTCTCATTGTTTTGAATGGGAAGGTCAGTGTAGCTCCTGTTGCTCCATCTTGTTTGGAAGCAGAAGTCCAACCCCCCCTTTTTTTTTTCTTCTAACATAGTGATATTTCTTAGGCAGAGGATTTACTACTCTGGCTCCTAGTCTTTGAAGATATACAGAGCTGAAAAAATTTCACATGGAGAAAGTATTTTCTGAAGTGAGCCCCACATCGTAAATGGCCAATTTAATTTTACTGAGAAATTGTCTTCCTAGAGCAATTAAACTTTCCTGTTCTGCTTTGTTTTTACAGAACTTATTATTAATGGGGTCCATTCTTAGTGGGGGGAGAGCACATGGTGGGGTCTGAATGCCCGAGGATCCGACTGTGCCCTCAAAACCCCCTCCTCCTCTCATGGGCCACCTACCTCTGCACTGTAGGGCACTGCCTGGCTGTTGCAAAGGCTTTGTGGTATCTGCTAATGAGGGCATTCTGCTGCAGGGAGTCCCAGCTGGTAAATGTATAGCCATTAGGCCTGACGTCACAGTGAGCGCCTGTGTAGGGAGCCTTCGTGTACACCTTCCCATAGGGAAGGCCTCCCGGGATTGACTTGGGGCTCAGAGAGCATGCAGAGCTTGGACGGTGCTGGCTACGGAGGCGTCCCCCTGAGCCCCTCGTCACCAGCAGGACTCTGTGCTTCTGTGCTTCTTGTAGCCCAGGGGCATGCCAAGCCCATGGGGAGAGACATTCCAGGAGAGCTTTCAGAAAGTGTGTAGCCCCACGGTGAGGGTGTGTGTGAGGCAGTGCCCAAAGCCAGTTGCTGTTTTCTTTCACCAGGTCCGGACAAAGACTGTGGCCCAGTGTGTACAGTATTACTATAGCTGGAAAAAGAGGGTCAGGTTTACCGCTTCTTGGGCCCCAGGACTGGAGAAGAGGGTCAAAAGAAAGCTGGCTGAGGCAGACCCAACAGAAACAATGGTAGGGGATTCTGGGGCAAGGGGGTCTCACTGGAGTTCAGTGCTGGTCTGGATAGCTACTGACCACCCAGGTCGGGGTGGGGAAGGGGGCCCCTACAGAGGAAAGCATCACCCTCAGAAGGTGGAAGATCGGCACCCTGATGTCATTTCTGCCCCTTCTGCAGGCCACTTGCAGCCCTCAGAAGAGAAGCAACCACCATCCAACCCCTGAGTTGAAGACAGAGACGGAGAGTTGCAGGGGAGAATGCGTCATCACTGCCAGCCCAAATGCTGCTCCCAAGCAGAGCCGTGAGTCTCCGGGGCGCGTCCAGGGCCAAGGCACTTTTCCCTGCAGGGAGTGTGAGAGGTGGGCACCAGCTCTGTCCCCAGATGCACTCACACAGCCTGCCTTCTGTCCCTGTGGGCCCTCAGCCCACCTCCCCCCTGCTCTGACCCGTGTCCTCTGCTGACTCTTCAGGGTGTTTGACAAGATGTGGACTCGCTATGCCCACATGAAGCAGCACCGGCTTCAGGACCCCATGGAAACAACTGTCAGGGAGGAGAGGCCAGTGAAGGCCTTTAAGGTGGAAGAGGAGGAGAAGAAGGAGGAAGGGGAGATGGGGGCTGACATGGGTCCCTTGCAGGGATGATTTGGGCCGTGAGCCGGGGCCAGGCAGCACATCATTGGAATGAGGACCTTGGGCCCCATCACCTCTCCCTTCAGCCTCCCCGAGGTGTTCAGGGCATCCCTCTGCCTCCACCCCACCTCCCCTGCCCCCCACTGACCAGCCCAGCTTGCAGAATAGCTGGTATTAGCCAACAACAGGCATGAGAAGCACCATCAGCGGACACTGTGGCATCCTCGTCAGCTGGTGCAAGAGGCCCCGGTCTCTTTACGTGTGCCCTGTGCCTTCATACCATAGTCTTGTAATGACTTGGCTCGTTGTTATTTTTTTTGTCCATGTCAATATGTAAACCCTATTAAATTTTGTTCTTAAGCAGCTGTCTTCTGGCTTCTCTGGCCTGTTGAACCAGCAAAGGCTTTAGGGCTCCTGCCACTCGCCAGCGCCCCAGAAACGCGTGAGCTGAGTCTCCGCCCTGGAGGGGCCGCGTCCTCGTGCATTCCGGGAGCTGGCCCTGAGGTGCCTGCTGCAGTGTGTCCACGCCCAGTCCATGCAGTGGGCTCACAGTGACCCAGGAGGGACCCAGGTGCTCCCCTCAGGGAGCTTACATTTTAGGAGCAGGAGAGCAGCAGAAATAAATAAGCAAAGAGGTGATTTTAGCTATTGCTTTGGGCCCTAATGACAGAAGAGTCAGCAGTGTAGTGACAAGCAGTCAGGACATGACGGGGGTTCCAGTGTGTCCGGGGTGAAGTCAGGGTCTGCCAGCAGCGGCCAGCTCAGCATGCGGATCGCAGCGGGGACGAGGATCACCCCCTCCTGCCCCGAGGTCCAAACCAGAGGGCACAGGAAAGAGCACGTTCCTCCCTCCTTCCTCGTGTCCCTTTTTAAGAGTGGGGAGAGCTTGTAACGGTCTTCAGAAGAATGCCTCTGGGTCCCATTGGTCAGGACTGGGGACCCATGCTTTTTCTAAACTGATCCCTGGCAGTAGGAAGTGCACCATATACAATATAACCAATAATACTGCAGCATCTTGGATGCTAATGGGGAACTCCACTTGGTGTCGCAAGCATCTGGTGACGTATGTAATTACTGGGTCACTGTGTTGGACATTTGAAACTAATATAATACTGCATATCAATTTTATTCCAATTAAATTTTTTTAAAAGACTATAAAAACAATACTTGTTTTGGACATTACATAAGCAAGAAATAAATTACTGTCGTACTTGAGCCATTGAAGGGTTGGCTTGTTTTAGAGATTGTTCTGACAGCTAGTATTAACCAGAATATTTGGCAATACCTGCCATGATCCTGTGTCCCTACCAGATATCAGGAATACTGAGGAAAAACATTCCATGTACACTCTGGGAAATATTTTCCAGGCAAAGCTAAAAAAGGATTTAAAAGCAGGTATTATAAACGAAACTTCAGGCTCTTGATTCATAAAATACACTGTTTATTTTGATTTGGCCATGGCTCGAGCTCTCACTAACAGTTTTTGTTATTATTTTGTTTGGTTCTTTTTTTAAAGAATAACTTTTAGAGTAACTACTCTAGATAACAATAGTAAGAAGAAATTAGAAAAGATTCTGACAAGATGGAAGGAATCAGAACAATGGTCCTTGCTGATTACACTGTGCATTTACATACATGCCCATATGCTCAGATCCTAAGCACTAGTTAAAAATTAATAAAACAATATACATCTAAACTATGCCTGTATCACTTTCACAAGCTAGAAGTCTCCATTAAAGATTCTTTAAAGTTCTATTTTGAAAGTTGCCAAATCTAATTCAAAAATTAGTTTATATTTATTTACATAATTATGTATAATCAGTGGTGCCACATAAGATTCTACTCACCCAGTTTAAATGTGTTCCATTTTGCACTACATTAAAGTTATATATTTTTACCATATTAAATATATTTGAATATGAGTTGGTCTGACAATTTAACCTTAATATATTCTCATAGGATGTATAATAATAGCATAACTAGTATTATAAAGAGCAGCTCCTATTAGAATACATTATATTTGTATTGTATTAGTTGTTTTCATAACTACCATCCCCTGCAGCACTAGTTCATCAGTACCCTAAAGGGCGGTGTTTGTGACCCGTATCTAAGCCACCCACAGCTCTCACATTACATCCTATGCTGTGCACAACAGCATATGAGGAACGAGTAAATACATAGGACAAATAATTTTCCAGGGACTCATTTGGATTTTCATTCATCTCTTTTTAGAAGTTGAGGAGCCCCTCTTCTCTTTTAAGTCGCACACGTGGTCTTGGATGCACACTGTCAAGGTGGGACCTGTGGCCAGGGCAGTCACAGCAAGCCACCTCCAAGAGGGGTGCCCAGCATCTATATATGGAGGTCAATGTTGAGTGCCAGATCACATGTTAAAAGTAGTTTGTAGTCAACCGAATTACGCGTATTTAGGCTTGATAGCCAGTACCCCACTTTTAGCCGTTCCCCTATGCCCAGCTGCATTCTGGTTTAATATACACCACAGCACACTCTGTGTTCAAAGAGACTCTCCTACCCCAGAGAATAGTGTTCAGTCTAACCGGAAAGACCGTCACAGTATGGACATGGGTCACCACTCAGATGCTTTCTCATAAATACAAATATGTTCCAGGTTTCTGAAGATGAGGCTGGACGAGCTTCCTGGGAAATCCGTCAGCCCATAGAGGGGGATGATGGACAGCGCTCTCAGGGACACCTGTCCAAATAAGGGATGTGGACACAGAGAAATGACTGGTCCACACTCACACACAGGTAATAGGTTTGAGTGGAATCAGATGGAACCTCAGCTTACAGGTGACACGCCGCTACCAGGACTCACTGGGGAAGCCTCATGGGGATGGACGTAGGGGCTGACATTTCCAAGACCTGAAGGAAGACTTGGAAAATTACTCTGTTTAAAAAAAGCAGAAACCTGCAACTTTCAATAACTCTTTAATAACCACAGGAGCTTCAAAACTTCCCACCTGGGTACGCATTGCTCAGAAAAACCGAAAACTTCTTACTAAATAAAAATGTGAGCAGTGCCTAAAAAAATTGGCAAAGGAATGACGGAGACTTTCTGACAACTCACAATGAACCATGGATACTATTTGTTTCATTGTCCAGGAGGAACATCACAGTGAGAAAAATCTGTGAATTAACAGGTTGATTTACTTTAGACGTTCATGAAGAAGCTTGGAACATCAATAAGACATGTCTTCCTAAATGCGCACCTGTGGCAAAGGCAATATGCTCCCTAAATATTCCACCTGTTCCCCCACATTCCCCAGACTGGGCAGTTAGGTTGGGCCATATGACAGTTCTGACCAGTAAGCTGTGGGCACAAGTGACGTGGGTCACTTTTAGGCCAAAGGATGGAAGAGCTGGTACATGACCTTCTGGCTGTGTCCTTTCCTGTTGGGATGACGGAGGGGACCATGAGTTGCAGATGCTGCAGCTACGAGATGTGAAAAGCTGCTGCCCTCAGTCTGGCTCCCTGAATGGCTGTGTGGGGCACACCAACACTGCCAACTCTTGCTGGGCATGTACAGTGAAAAAGAAACAAGCCTTTGTGTGTCAGCCACACACAAAGATGGAAGATGGGGCTATTCAGTCCCTGAAGCACATCTTAAATAAAATTATATCTGAAGTTCAAAAACCTCAAAATTCCCACCTACCCAGCTTCACACGGCTCCAGATGCTGCGCTTCTGAAGCTTCCTCCCACGCTGAGAGCCGGGCAGGGCACTCCGCAGGGAACGGCTCCACCACGGCATGCTGGCAACCTGGCACGTCCCCACACCGGCCACGGAAGGCAAAGCGGAACCGCAGTCTGGCCCGGGTCTTGGCGGGATGCCCCGTAATTCCTCCCAAAGTGAAGGGAGACGAGCGGCCCTGTGGGCAGCTGCCAAGCAGCCGTTTCTCATCTATGTTCCCTCATGTGGGGGTGGGGTGGGCCGTTTCCCATGCGCCACCCGTGTTTGGGTGAGCACAGGATTTCCCCCTCCCTCCCTCCCCCGCAGGGCACAGCTGCAGGCTTCTGTGTCTGTCAGACTACGTGGCTGTAACTGGGGGACGGCTCCCCCAGCGGAGTGACCCCCGCCCAGGCCTCCTGCCGGCTGCTCCCTGTGCTTCAGGCTCACCCTGTGTGGGGTTTTTTATTTAGAGGGAGGAAAGTTCGCTGCGGAGCAGGCTGCCCCTGAGGCTGGTAGCCACCCGCTAGGTTTTATATAGTGCATTTTATGGGAGTTTATTTGGTTTCCTCCTTCCCATTTTGTCATTTTTGCACCATGCTTTGGATCTGCCTTCGTTCCTCGTTTTTGGCCTCTTTCTTAAGTTTGTATTCATCGTCTTTCCACTGAGCCCCTAAGCAAAACCCAGGGCGGGGCCCAGCTGCAGCGTAATGATACTATGATATTTTGGTAGCCTCGGGCTACCAAAGCCTTCCCTAAGCGCACAAAATTGGGAAAGCCCCAGTGACCTGAGTCCTTCGTTGATCAGTGTGTGCTGGACCTTACGGGGATTGGGCCCAGGAGACGGGGCGGCCCTGGGCGGGGACTGCGTGGGGCCTGGGCGTCCCGCCCTCCTCTCCGCTCTCTCCTCCTGCTTGGGGCTGGGCGGCTGCCTGAGCGGACACCGCCGTTCTCCAGGTGCCCGGGAGGGCCGAGGGCATTCCTTATGGATGAGGTATCATCTCTGCCCTGGAGAGTTTGAGTATGGATGAGTAGGAATTGGTTTTAGAATTGGTTGCTGAAGAGTGGGGGTGCCATTCACAAAAACTGATGACAAGAAATGTAAAGTCCTACTTCCTTTTTTAGGGAGCTTAGTTGTTAAAAACTTTAAACCTACTAATTCCACTTCTGGGACTAATTCCACCACTGAGAGGACGATATTACTTAATGTAATTTATAAAAAGTGTATGTTTGGTCATTCAGATGAACAAAGCATATTTCTTGTATGTATTTGGTCTTTGTGCACACAGTTCCTGGCTCACAGCTCCCAAAACTCTTGGAATTTTCTAAGTCGAGAGTGAGAAAGGTGTCTTTTGTTACGTTAATGGAGACGACTTTTGGAAACACCCCTGAGGTTGGTGGCCGGCTGCCTGGAGCACCCACCTTGTGGTTGGAGAGAGGGCTGGAGGCTGAGTTCAGTGGCCAGCGGCTTACTCCATCATGCCTCTGTAATGATGCCTCCGTGAAAGCCCGAAGGGCAGTGTGCAGGGAGCCTCCCGGGTGGCGGACGCTTGGAGAGCGGTGCCCTGGGGGACATGGGAGCTCTGCGCCCCCGCCTCCCCTTGCCCTGTGCCTCTCTCCCATCTGGCTGCATTACAGCCTGTCTAATAAAGTGGTAATCTAGTAAGTAAAATGTTTCTCCAAGTTCTGTGAGCCACTCTAGGAGATAATTGAACCCAAGCAGGGAGCTGGACACTCCCCTCCTCCGGTTTTGTGAACAGCATCTAAAGCCGGGCTGTGTGTGTGTGTGTGTGTGTGTGTGTGTGTGTGTTTCTGCTTGTGTATGCAGGTGTGAGTGGTCTTACAGGACTGAGCCCTTAACCTGTGGAATCTGATGCTGTCTTCAAATAGTGTCAGAACTGAGTTGAATTCATGGTCACCCAAACCCAGCTGGTGTTCAGAAAATTGCTTGTTGGAAGTGTGGGGAACGCACCCCACCATGCTGGAAATTGAGGCTCAGAACACCCTATTTAGGTAACTGTAATATTTAATACTTAGATACCCAAAAAACAAGAAGCATTTTATATGTCTAATTTTAGGACAGTAGGTATTTAATAGTGTCTTTATTAATTTGTTTATTAGCAGTTATTAAGTGATGTTTATGATGAATTTCTAAACATGAAGATAGAAATTAAATTAAAAATAAGGGGTAATGTGACCTTAACACAAACTTCAGCTTTCGTGTTTGTGTCTCTCAGTTTGTGCATGAGGACATCCAGTGCTGCCCTTAAATTAGCCTTTCTCT